CTGAGCGAGCTGAGGAAACGTGCGATGGGTCTCTCGGCGGAGATGAAACGACGCTGGGGCACGATGACAGCGCACGTGCGGAGCAACCAAACAGAGGCTATTCGCACAGCAACAGTGCAACGAGATATGGGCTTCACAGCCATCTTTTTACTGTTGGCCAATTGGGGCGATGTGACACTGCCAGCCGGCCTTTGCATGGGGCTTCCAGCAGTGGGCTATGCACCCCCATATGGTATTTTTCCAGAGCAGGAGGCCACCCGATTGACACGGGGAAACAGAGGGTGATTGATGATGCCTATGTTGGCCTACAATCTGAGCGCTCCAGTGACGCCAACAAGCTTACTCTTTGCTCAGCCCTGCGCAGCATCTGCAGTATGCATATGCCTATGGAGCACTTTCCATCTGGGATACAGAGGAATGGGAGTCAGGTGGCCAAGACTGGCCTGATGCTTACAGACTTTATCTCATGAGTAGAGACGAAGCTCTATGCTGTGTTGCGGCCTTCTTTCATCACGAATGGCAGCGGTCAGCTTTCATAATTTATACAGGTTTGCTTTTTGGGTCTTCTTTGGCAGTCACGTCCTTCAATCGATACAGTCGCTTTGTGGAATTTTTGTCACGTCGATTTGCATTCAGTTTGACGTGTTTGCATTTTGATGATGCACATCTGACTGACCGGAAATCTTGCAAAGGTTCAGGTCAACGAGCCATGCAAACGCTCAACACCCTTTTGGGAATCTTCTTTTTCAGAGGAGAAATGCCAGAAGATGCAGAGCTCTGGTACATTTTTGGGATTCGATCCCGATTTCATTCAAGTTCCTGCTCAGGGCACCATTCAGTTTTGGGCGCGCGAGCGCGTAGAGCGCAAGCTGCTCCACCTTATGAAGAATGCTGAGGATTCCAGCAAACTTCAACCAGGAGCAGCCGCCAAGATCTATGGCATTGCCACCTTCTTTGAGCTTGGTGTATGGGGACGTCTCGGTTGCGGTGGCCTTGCCCCTATCAAGCGCAGACAACAAGAACACACCTCAGAGTTGACTGAGGAGTTGCGTCCCTGCTTCAATCTGTTGCAAATCTTCATCGCTACCAAATTCCTCAGGCAGATCGAGATCTGGCCGCACGTGGGGCTATGTTTTCTAGCAGCCTCAGATGATGCATCGTAAAGCCCAGGTCAGGGTACGGGAGGATTTCTGGTAGTGTGGCATGATGACCACATACAACAGCGTGAAGCTTTTGTCCCGATCATCCCTCCAATGGTGTGCCACCTTTGGGAACCGGGAGACAAGAAGATTGCCCAACTGGCGCTGCTTCAGGTCCTCTATGCATCGTTTTCACGTCCTTCAGCGTTTCGTGGCCGACGAGGACTTTGGTTCATTGACAATACAGCGGCCAGCTTTCATGATTTACACAGGGATTGCTTTTTGGTCTCCCCTTTGGCCGTCACGTCCTTCAATCGATACAGTCGTTTGGTGGAAGCTTTGTCGCGTCGATTTGCATTCTGTTTGACGAGTTTGTATTTGAGGATGCGCATGTGACTGACAGGAAGTCTTGCAAAGAATCGGGCCAGCGAGCTATGCAGTTCATGCACAGGGCATCATTCAGTTTTGGGCACGTAAACGCATCGAGCACAAACTGCTCCATCTCATGAAGCATGCGGAGGATTTCAGCAAACTTCAATCAGGAGTAGCTGCCAAGATTTATGGCGTTGTCAATTTCTCTGAGCTTGGTGTATGGGGGCGCATTGGTTGTGGAGGCCTGGTCTCTATCAAGCGCAGACAACAATAACGCATCTTAGAGTTAACTGCGGAGTTGCGTCGATGCTTTGACTTGTTGCGTATCATCATTGCTATCAAATTCTCCAGGCAAATTGAGATCTGGCCGCACGTGGGGCTATGTTTTCTAGCAGCCTCAGATGATGCATCGTAAAGCCCAGGTCAGGGTACGGGAGGATTTCTGGTAGTGTGGCATGATGACCACATACAACAGCGTGAAGCTTTTGTCCCGATCATCCCTCCAATGGTGTGCCACCTTTGGGAACCGGGAGACAAGAAGATTGCCCAACTGGCGCTGCTTCAGGTCCTCTATGCATCGTTTTCACGTCCTTCAGCGTTTCGTGGCCGACGAGGACTTTGGTTCATTGACAATACAGCGGCGCTCATGGCTTTGATTCGAGGTCGTTCCGACAACGCAGATTTAGAGTACATGTCACGTTTGATTCATGTCACTCTTTTTGCTCTCAAAGTTGGGTTTTTCTGGGAGTGGATCCCTAGCAAGGCCAACTGGTCAGATGAGATCAGCAGGGACGGCCTTCAGGCAACATGGCATAAACGCCATGGGTTCACCACGCATTTTGCAGTTTTCCCCTTCGAGATTTGGTCTCTACCACTTCCCGCGCTTCTACGGGTGGAGTTTCTCTGAGTGCTTTGGGATAGAAGTGCATTGGGAGAGATTCAACCTGTGTAGCCTCCTGAGTTCACAGGAGTGCAGAACAGGGTGTACGGATCCAACCAGTGCTGCTGTGCAGGGGGATACCTGCACACCGTTCCAAAGCACTATCCTGCGAGGAGCAGGTTGAGACCGCACGAAGAGACTGGAAAGGAAAAAGGCTATGCGGATGTGAACCTGGATAGGTTGACCATATCTAATATCTATGCTTTACATCTCACATCTAATGTATGTATGCATCGTGTTTGGCAGGCACTGGGTGTGCATGATCATTAGGGTGAGTATGTAAGCCGATGAATCCATTTTGGATCAAGTCTGAGCCAAACTGGCTTCATCGTTCTTTCTTTTCCCTCCCTTCCCTCCCTATGAGATAGGACTCCGGTGGAGTATCCTCTCTTGTAGGGGATCACATCATTGAGGATGTTGATCTCTACGTGGAGTCCCACGACTGTAGCACTGGGCGGGAGAGATTCAACCTGTGTAGCCTCCTGAGTTCACAGGAGTGCAGAACAGGGTGTACGGATCCAACCAGTGCTGCTGTGCAGGGGGATACCTGCACAGCGTTCCAAAGCACTATCCTGCGAGGAGCAGGTTGAGACCGCACGAAGAGACTGGAAAGGAAAAAGGCTATGCGGATGTGAACCTGGATAGGTTGACCATATCTAATATCTATGCTTTACATCTCACATCTAATGAAATAATATAAATACGTAGGTGGTCGATAGACAGATTAGATTAGGTCAGGTCAGCTTAGATTAGAATAGAATAGATTAGATAGACAGATAGACAGATAGATAGATAGGTAGGTAGACAGGTAGGCAGAGAGATAAAGAGCGAGAGAGAGAGAGAGAGAGATATATATATTATTTATTTATATATATATATTTTTATATATATATAGTGACGGACAATCACTTAGAACGTAATTTTTTTCCAATTTTTTTTTTCGTACTTAGAACGTAGCAAAATTTCATCACTTAGAACGTACGGAAAATTCATCACTTAGAACGTCAAAATATCACTTAGGCCCATTTATCACTTAGAACGTAAACCAACACTTAGAACGTGCTAAGTGATTGTCCGCCACTATAATTATGAACAATTACCATATGATATGTATATATACTTGTATATATATAAATACATACATTATAAATGTATATAATATAAATACTTCTACAATCCAAAACCTTCGAGAAAATCGATGAGGTACCCACCGTTTCAAATGCGGTAACATGATTTCACAAGCCTTTCCACTATCATCAGTGACCTAGACACGTTCTAAGTGTTAAATCCCCGGTACGTTCTAAGTGATGAATCTTGATATTTGGACGTTCTAAGTGTATGGTTTTCGACGTTCTAAGTGCAAGGCTTAGAACGTAAAAAAAGCAGTAATATTCAGTTTTTTTTCCAAAATACGTTCTAAGTGATTGTCCGTCACTATATATATATATATATATGCGTACATATATGCACATACATATATATATGTGTGGTTATTTGTTTTTTAGAGATGTGCAGGTAGATACGGATATAGTATGATATAGGCATATTGTTATGCATTCTAGTATGTGCATGCACACACATATATATATATGTATATAGTGCTCATGTCGGTAAATGGATAAGCAGCACGATTGCCGCGTGCCCGATTAAAAATGTAGACTTTCATATTCCCAAAGAATTGGTTGTTTGTGTGTGCTATCCTGTGGCGTTTTGGCTGCAACTCTACAAATCCATGCCTTTTGTCTGCATGCACCAAGATACATCGACGATTCCTTTTTTCCGAGCGGACAACAGAGAAGTGGCTGCAAACGCTTGTTCCAGAGATGCTCAGGGAAAACGCACGGACCAGGAGGGCGCCATGGAAGGCTAAATTGAGCTGCTGCGCAGCGGGGTTCGGCTGGTCGACTGCTCAATGCACAAGATGCAGTGCTTTGCAATGTGTTTCTCTTTGCATCCTGTCAGCCTTGTTATTCATGTGCAAACTAGACCACTGCTATTTTTGGCACACGGTTGCAAAGAACGATCAGGGTTTAGATTGGGGTACGCAGTCCTGGCTCTTCTCCTTGACCAAAGACTAGGCCGTATCTTGCTGTTCCCACATTGTTCATCCATGTCAATGTCCTTTCCAAACGATATCAACTATTCATTTCTCAATAAACTGTTTTGCGGGCTGGATTGCAGCACGACTTGGTGGCATTGAACAATTCCGATGGGGTGTGTTCTTTGGTCAGAACCGGAGGGACTTCCTCTCTGGCGTTATTTCTGATTCATTGGTTGCAAAAGATCATAGACGCATGTAGTGTATTTGAAAGATGATGAGCAATGAAATTTGGACGACTCCCGGCTTTGCAGTTGCAGCTGTTGGATTCTTTCAAGGGTGCAGGATCAGCGTCACTCCAAGCCTCTCTTTGACTGCATCTCTTTGATTGCATCACAACTATCTCCGTGAGCACGGACAGTAGCTGGGACGGAAAGCAAATGGTGAGAAGCCATGAGAAGCCGACATCCCAAGCCTGTTTCATGATTGGTTGGTGCATCTTTCTAGCGTGAGCCTGCCACGCGGCAGCAACACAACAAGAGAACGTAAACCAGTCTCATCGCGTGAAGCCATGACAACTCGACACCAGGCAGCTCAACTCGCTGTGATCATGCGGAATGTGGCCGTGTTTCAGTGAAAGAGCGCGGTGGCATGTGTGACAATAAGTAAACACGCATAGTGCTATTCATCTTGCAGCTTGACCCTTGGGTACTTACCTGTATGAGGCCCGCCTTCCATGCTGCTTGGCCTTGCTATTCGTGCCATGGCTACTCCAGCTAGGCTCCGGGGTCCATGACAAAGGTTAGGACATGCGTTTGGTTTCCCAGGTGAGCAGTTAGTTGCTGCCCAAGCTTCCCCCCACACGGGAAAAACCAAGGATGATTTTGCGGGTCAATCTTAACTGGCGTCACATTTCCTTCCAGTTTCTTCAGACCTTTCAGGTGTTCATAGGCAAAATTTGGGCCTGGTTGCTCGGAACTGTTCCTTTCTAGCAGCCAAGATGTTTGTTGGCACCATTTGCTCTTCAAGAACTGGTCAAGCAAAACTTGATGTTGCGCACAGCTGCCCCTTTTTATCGTTTTGCAGCAGGAAGCTCTGCACAGGAGGCCTTCTTGGGTTTGAGACAGCCCACGTCGCGGCCCAAGGCGCGGGAAACTCCATGAAGTATCATTTGTGAGTGGGGCATACCAAATATCCAAACGGTACGGCCATTACCATTGCTGGGAAAAGGGTGAACAGCGGATTTTGGGTTACTCTTTGCCAAATTTTTGCACATCCAAAAGCTGCTCAAAATCGGCATCCGCAACATTTCTTTGGGCCTGCCAGGCCTCCTTACATGCACTGGTAGGTGATGATGGTGGGAGCCCGAGATCTCCGCGCAGGATTTAAAGAATTCATCAGCGGACAGGAATTCAATATATATATATACCACGATGACAGGGCCTGGTAGGTTCCATGCATTGCTGTAAAGGCCAAGCCACTTTTCCCAGAACATTCCCTTTCAACACTTGGCTCGTTCTCTGAGGCACCACCTTCGAGAGGTTTGAAAAGGATCCGAGTGACAAGAAGGTCCGGGGCGAGAGGAAGGCCGGAAGCAGGGGAAGGATACCTGAGATTCCATAAGCCAACTGTCCTTTTCGTAGATTTTGGCTCCAAGTTCGAGGGTGTTTTCGCAGTTTTCAGACAAATCCAGATCACATCATGCAACATACATTTTCTGGAAGTTCGCAAGCTTTGCTGGCAAGGCATCAGGTAGCTCTGGCAAGAAAACAGATTTAGTTTGCACCCTGGTGCTTGGCTGAATTGGAAAACTGATCAATACCTCTGGAAGTTTGCACCGGTCAGTGTGCCGCATGTCAAGGAGCCAGTGGATGACACCTGGTATGTGCTAGCCTGAGCTCATGACCTGACAAACTGCACAGTATTGGCACAGATAGATGCACTTTCATCATTTCATCGTCGGTCCCGACACACTAGGAGGGCTCCATTAAAAGCTACAGCACTCAAGACGGCCGAGGGCTTGTTAGTGGAGAGGTCGATTTCCAAATAGGTTTTGCACCTCCATTTTCAGGCTAAGTGTCCTTAGTGGGCATCTTGTGTTCCCGCATTTTGGACCCTCGATGAAGCAGAAATAAATGCCGGGAGTAGAGCTATTATTCCGTCCAAAATCATCTGGGATAAAGTTTCAAAGCTTGGACAGCTTACGCCAAAGGAAAAGATTATGAAAGCAGCACATCAGGATCATCAGCCAACGGCTGCGTTTCAGGCTTTGGATTCATCCATTGCGACGAGCTGTTCAACAAGCACCAGGTCTTCGGTGGGCCCAGCGTCATGCAGAGCTGGATCTGCGTCCTTTGATCCTCCATGCCAGGCAGATGTGTTCCTCCACAAGAGACAGGCGAGTTGCTTGAGCTGACATAAATATCCATGCAGGCTTCATGGCAGGCGAATTGCTGGTGTTTAGCCATGTTTCAGGATGTATCCGGACACCTTTCTTGTGAGGCAATAGAGCTGGATTTCAAAAAGCGAGAGATTGTTCGTTCACGGCCATCAGTAGGCTTGAATGACGCTTGGAGTTGCAAAGGTTGCTCCAAATCATATCCATTGTAAGACTGGAACATGGCTTTCAGGTGGATACACACCTTGGGTTTGGCACTTGGTTGATTGCAGAGAAATTTCTTTGGTGCTCTTTCCGGCATCAAACATGCCATCCTGAAACGCAGATCGGTCAATTCAACTACGGTCAGTGAAATTCAAACCAGACCATTTTCCAGGCCCATCCATCCTAAAATTGATCCCTCCATGTGACAAAGCTGGTGAAGACTCTGAGGAGTAGGGCAACGCGCGGTTGGTCGCCCAGTTGGCTCTGCCGGGGCTTGGTGCTTTTGCTCACTGCGGTCCTGCGGTGCAAATGTTGTCTTGGAGAAACACCCCACTGAGGCGATCAAGTGCGATTCCTACTGGGTGTGAACCAGGCATCGTAGTTCCGTTGGCCCTTATTCCAGCTTGTTGGACAGCTGATCAAAGGAAGTTCAGTTGGCAAACTTCCGAGTTGAGGACACGCCAATTCAACCAAACCGGTAGCATCATTGTAGTTTGGACGTTGGCAGGGGAGGGGGTGGAAGGATTTGATCACGGTAATATCCATTTATAGATAAAAAAGAATGATAAAAAGCAATTTGCCCGAAAGACGGTGTTTTTTGCAGGTTTTGTGGCTTGAGCGGTCGCCAAATCATTAGGGGCATGTCGGCAACTGCTCGCCTTTTTCAATCTTTGTTGCTTGTAAAGCCGCGTGACTTTGAGGCCGGCAAGCCCCAAGCACGGAATGCCGGTTTCCCCAGCTTAGCGATGGATGTGAAGAGCTGAAGCTCATAGGCGTCATGAATGGTTGTTTTGTGAGATATCAGGTGGAAAGACGCGTCGGTTCGCTTGGCACTCAAGCACACTTTATTTGAAAACCTGTGGATCTAGTTGTAGGATGCTGCCATATGTCACAAACATCTCGGCGGGGTGGCAACGCTTGCGGTTGTCGATAATTTGGAATCAAACGCGCTTGGGGCCACAGTGCCGTAATCATTTCATGTTAGAATTGCACCTTGACAACCCCGGGGATTTTGAAGACCCATTGTATCATTCCATTGGGTTGTACAGGGCAAAGCTTCTTCACGGCGTTTTTTCCGTCTCATTTCTGCAGTCGCCTGTGCAAAGCAGGAAGTATGTGTGTATGCGCAAGAAACGATATCTCTAGCGTTTAAGGAAGTATGTATGCATGTGCAGGAGAAGATGTCTCTAGCGAAGAAGGAAGTATGTGTTCATGTGCAAGAGAAGATGTTTCTAGCGTAGCCGGAAGCATATGTGCATGTGCAAGAGGACATGTCCCTAGCGTAGCAGGAAGTATGTGTATATGTACAAGACGAGAATAGAAAAGATGTCTCTAGCGCAGCATCAAGTATGTGCGGGAAGCACGTGTGTAAACGCAAGAGAAAATGTGTCTAGCGTAGCGGGAAGTATGTGTGTATGTGCAAGAGAAGATGTCTCGACTAGTAGCGTTTCAGCTATACTATACACAAATATATATGTATATTATATATATTATATATATATTATATATATATATTATATATATTATATATATATTATATATATTATATATTATATATATATATTATATATATTATATATATATTATATATATATATTATATATATATATATTTTATATATATTATATATATATATATTATATACATATATATATTATATACATATATATCGCATATATATATAGCATATATTTACCCTGAAGATCGAGGTGTCTAGAATCCCCCCCGGGGGTGCCGTTGAGGGTTCTAAAATCATACCCACTATGATTTTAGAATTCTGAAAGGCTATCAAATTAGAACCCTGAAAGTTTGGATATATGAGCCTTGTTGTGGTATAAATTGGTTCCAACAGACCACAAGAAATAGGTCATTGATTTGGAGTGCAGAAAAAGGAACCAAGTCGCGATGAGGTATCTGCACAAAGGTGCAAAACATGTTTGGAATTAGCATCCCTGGTTTTGGCCGATCAAGATTTCCATTTTATTTTCAATACCAGGTGATTTCAACGTCGCTTGGTTTAATTCCTTTGATAAAAAGGAGGCACAACGGTGGCGAGCAGCTGCAGCAATGGTGCAAACAACGTCTTGAACTATGTCCGGCAACATCCGCAATTGAAATAACACGAGCCTCACCATTACCTCCAACCTCCCATACAATGCCAATTTTGTTTGGACAGCACAAATGCCATGTCAAGTTGTGATGAGCAACCTGCAGTGATGCGCATCCTTGTTTCCACCCAACACCTCCATTCTTTAGATACCAGCACTTTGGTTCAACCAAGCCGGTTGGAAAAAAGGAACGGGTCTATCGTCATCTTCCCCAGGTCAATGCGCGTCAAAATTATTTTTAAGCCTGAAGGCAACCATTCTAGACCCCCAGGTGGCTGACTAATGGCCAGCTATAAGCAAACTTAGCCGCTTAGCCATCCTTTGACATCCCTTCTACATTCTACATCCTTCTGAGCATTCTTTAGGTACCAACACTTTTGGTTCAACCAAACCGCTTCGAAAGAAGGATGCGGGTCTATAATCATCCTCTCCAGGTCAATGCGTGTCAAAGCGCGTTTTAAGCCCGAAGGCAACCATTCTAGACCCCCAGGTGCTGACTAATGGCCAGCTATAAGCAAACTTAGCCGCTTAGCCATCCTTCGGCATCCCTTCTGCATTCTTACATCCTTCTGCGCATTCTTTAGCTACCAACACTTTTGGTTCAACCAAACCGCTTGGAAAGAAGGACGCGGGTCTATAATAATCTTCCCCTGTGTTTTTTGAAAGGAGACCATTCTAGAACCCAGATTTCAGGTTCTAATTTGAAGGACAAGGGGGCTTATTTGATCATGAGGGTTTTGTATATATATATGTATAAATAGCATATAATTATAATATATATATACATATACATTTATTCATTTATTTGTTCATAGCATGTATATATATATGTAATTAAATATACATAATTAAATATATATGTGTGCGTGTATGTACGTATGTATCCGTGTGTGTCCATGTGAGACTAGCGCGCATTTTTTCGAATGCAGAAAACCCCGGCATGCCACAGCAATGTCCAGCCCCCCCGGCCTTTGGCCGGAAGGCAACAGGACCTCAATCCCAGCCACTTCAGGCATTGGGTCGACTTCAGCAAGGTGTATGCAAAGACACCCAGCCGGACAATGCAATAGGAACGCTCGTTTCAGATAATTTTTGATACTAGTAGCAAATGTTCATAGAAGTTCTGCACGTGTTGGTGTTTGCACCATTAGCCTCCAAAGACGGGTTTTTAATATCCTTTAATACTGTGCTGCTTTCACGGCATCTAGCTGAAGCCAAGGTGGGAAGTGTCAAAGACTATCGGGAGGAGAAAGGTTTTGGTTTCATCGTTTGCCCGCCATGGTTGCAAGCGGGGATCAAGATGTTGAAGTTTTGAGATCTGCAGCGTGCAAGTTCCCTTAAGTAGTGTTTCTGAGGTTTTTTTTTGAAATTGCGTAAGGATTTTCAATCAGAAGCCTTCCAGTTGACCATTAGAGAGGCAATAGAATGTGATATATCCCTGCATATATATATATGCATATGTTTGTGCGTGCTGTGATCGATCCAGCAGAGCAAATCCCACTAGGTTTGCCCCGAGACTCACTACATTTTCCAAAGTTTGGAACCCAGAAAATTGATTTGGTCTTGATCAGCCGCTGATCCCAGCGCCGTGATTGAGGCGACATCTTCCTCCACAAGAACGAGGTAGAAAAGAATAACCTATCCAAAGGCAGCAGGGTGACCTTCTCCATTCAGGTGCGCAATCTTATGCGAGGTTTGGCCTTCAGGAGCAGGCCCAGTAAAGGAAGTTCTGACTGGAGCTCTTTGGGGGAGGTATTCACGGGAGATTTGCTCTGCCATCACGGCGATGTTTCAACCTAATCTTCTTCCCTGGGCGTCATAAGTGAGCTGATCTCATGGGCGCACGAGACTGGAACAAACATAGTCCTGAATTTGAAGGGAGTTTGTCAAGCTATCAACACTAATTACCCCGCTTCCCGCCGCCCTACTTGGCTGCTGTCATTTGATCCCACAACGTTGCAGATGCAGAGCCAGGTTAACAAGAATAACCGTCCTCAAGCTAGAAGTGTTGGAGACCCAGCGGGCCTTACCATCAGATGAGGCCCGTGGTATGAGCTGCGTGGCTTGGGAGGAGGATTCGGAAACCGACCAGAAAAAGCTTGAAAGATTGAACACCTCAGGTCGAACGGCTGGTACCAACGTCCTTCTCAGGCGCTGACTCTGTGAACCAAACGCTTTCAATTCTTGTTTGTAAAACATGTCCATACATCCATTATATTGGCAGTTATGGATAGATGAATATATATATGTATGTATATATATATATATATGTGCAACTATATTTATGTATATGTTGCAGTTACATACATATATACACATATCTCTCTGTGTAAGTGCGTGTGCACTTTTGGCTATCCTCTTTTTCGGATGTTCGGGAAAGCCCCAGGGCTTTGATGCATATTTAGAACTTATGTAATTGCATGCATGCCTGTGACGGTGGCACATTCCAAGTTTTGCAACTCAGCACTTGCCAGCGCATGACATGTCAATTAAATGACCAGCATGGCAGCTGCTTGCCATCATCATGATGGTCATGGTCATCGTCATCGTCACCATTGCCATCGCCATCACCATCATCACCACCACCGCCGTCATCGTCGTCGTCATCGTCGTCGTCATCATCATCATCATCATCATCATTGCTACCATCATCATCATCATCATCATGCCACTGCCTTTTCACAGCCGGATCATGATCCGTGCTCATTACATTGAGGTGGCATGGCATTCACAGTGTATGTTCCGTCATGTTTTTTATCTGTCTCAATACAAGGGGTGAGCGCGCGCAAGCGTAAGTTATATGCCTTACACAGACTTGTGCATGCGCAGTACTGACTACTGTATATGCGCACAGGTATTTACAAGCATGTGATATATATTTGTAGGGAATGTCTTTGAAAGCCCCAAGGAGAAAGGAGCGAGGAGGAGACAGAGATGGTGGCGGGCTAAAAATTGATGGCTGAGACGGCAAAGTGAAACGCAGCAACCTCAAAGCTTGCTTTTGTTTAATGATATGTATTATATTTTCTGGGGGTCTTTGCTTTCCAACTGTCCAAGATTGACTTGTGGTACCTGCAGTTTGATTTGGAGCTATGGGATGACCTCGCTGGGAATCATCAGGCAGTGGATGCTTGAAGGGCGTGAAAAAGGCATTTTGTGAGCGCAACTTGGTTAGAATATAGTTATAGTTTATACCAGCTGCAGTTTTTCTCTGGAATCCGCCATACGGTGGGATTTTGCGCGGCGCCAGCCGCAGCTGATTGAAATTTTCGGGCATTCGGATGTCCAAGCCCTCGTGGGAGAGCAAAAGATATTGCTGAGTGGAGCCAGAGTCGCGCGAAGAACATGCTCAGTTTCGCATGAGCTAAACCGATTGGGGCATGGGTAAGCGTTTGCATGCGGGCGCCAGTGGATGAAATTTGACGCGTGCCGCCTCCAACACGGACCAACTCATGCAAACGTCCTCTGCATGGGGGTCGACCATCAGGGTCAAGCAGCAAGCCCGTCCATGGCTCCAAGCTCCCTAAAATACAGCCGCAGAATAGTCACTTGTTCAACGAAAAAAGGCAACATACAGATATGGGTTGAAGTTTGGACGGTGGCAATGACCCAAATGAACATCCAAGATGCTCCTGCTTGTAAGACGGCAGCAAATGCCCTGGGCTACCAGCTGTTTCATGCATCCTCTCATCCTGCGGGCTGTGTTCCACAATGGCCTGGACCCCATTACCTCGTCCAGATGAACGTTTCAGGACGAGGCCAAAGGCTGTCAGCAAGCAACCTGCCTGCAGCAAGTTGACTTTAGCAAGCGTATGTCATTTGCTTCATTGGCTTGACTTCCTGGTTGTCTGGTCTGAAACATCAGTACCAAACGCTGTTTAGAATAATCCGCTGCTTCCTGGAAAAATTAATCTGGGAGCCTGAGATGGCGAGTCGGCACCTTCTGGCCAAGGAGCCCTGGCGTGCTGGATACGTGGACACCAAAGCCAAAGGTGAAAATCGCCCCTGCGGTGCTGGAAGCCTTGCCCGACCCGCCAGCGGCAGCTCTTCCAGCTCCTTTGCGAATTTGGGCATATGAGCTGAGTTTGCAAGGGATAGTTAGATATTTGATGTTATTTCATGTGCTTTCCAGGCTCGTGCTAGTAAAGGCATTTGAGATCATTTAAGTATATTTAAGCTCACGTGTTTTTTCCCTCGTGCAGCTTCGCTTGGCCCAGAGCGCCTGAAGTCTAAGTGCAGCTCAGTGCAGGTCTCCAGTGCATCGGCCAGACTTCGAGCAGCATTGGAATATGAAGATGCAGAGGCTGCGGAGGTGAAAAGCTTCCTGAGCCTCAGCTGATGGAGTTGATCAGGGATCACGATTGACAGGTGGGCCAGGGTGAGTGGTCACCAGTGATACCTAACAGTATTTGAAGAGAACGGCTGCGACAGCTGTGACCAAGGACCTCTCTAAGGGATCACAAAAGGTAGCTAGGCTGAAGCCGCCCGGTTTCTCATGTAGTTTAGCTCCTCCGATGTATACGGATGTGCTGGGTGCATTGAGGAGGGCGAATGGTTTTCATCAATATGTCGCAGCGTTCATGGAAAACGGCTTCGACTGCATGGAAGTGGTCGAGGAGCAGCCGGGAGTCTGAGACTCTTAGTGTTTGCCGGCCTTGGACAAAGCATGTCGCAAGTGAGACGCACAGGAGATGGAGGAGAGGCACATGAAGGACCTGGGAATGAAGCCAGGTCACATCATCAAGCTAAAGTTGAACCCTGGCAGCAACAATCTGTGGGTCATGCTAATCTGGCACTATACTTGGACCGATTTGGCACCAGACGAAAGGTAACTGATTTGTCACGAAAGGTAGCCTAGGCTACCTGAGTTCTATGTACTTTAGTACTAGTTTAGTACTGGGGGAGGTGGTTGGCCCTTTCCCGGAAATTGAGAGCTGAAAGTAAGGAATCTCCACTTAGGGCGGGGGGGGGGCCTCCCCCCCCATTCGATTCCCCCTGGTCCGCAGCCAAAAAGCGCATGTCATTGGAGATTGGTGATATTGGATATCTGTATATTTTTCGCTGCTTTGCAGCTGTCTACGTGCTCATCCCCATCGACTCTATATACTCGCCACCACATGCCGCATTCCTTTAGCATGAGCGTTGCATCCTTGAGGGATTACACCTCTACACACAAAGTGCCTCAACCGAGCATCCATCGGTTGAAGCACTTTAGCCCCATCTCGTGCATGTATCTTGTCAGCAAACTCAGCACCTCGATCTTGCATTAGTTCTTGTAATACTGACCGTGATTTTATTCTTCTTGTTATTCTTCTCCTCGTTTAATTTCTCTCTCTTCCTGTCCCTCCTGTATTTGCCCCACCTACCTTTCGTCCCCCCCTCTCAAGTCAGAGTCATTCAAGGTCCAGCACGCCTCCGAATAACTACAAAGACTCATGACGCCAAACCACCCCAAATATGTAAAGCAAGCGGCTGTGAATAATTTGAAATGAGTTGAACCTATTTGCCGCGCAGACTTGATTTAGTTGATTCCGAGCCACACTTGGTTTGATTCTGGCACCAAGCGGAGTTGACATCAGCTTGCCATCTTCACCTTATTTCCCAATCCCGTCCCTACACGCTCAACTGCTTTATTTTGTGAGGAGGCTGGCATCGTCTCGGGGGGAGGCTCCAAGCAGTGCTGGTGGCTGGGGCCCAGGTAGCTGTCCCACCTAATCTGTGTTGTGATGGTGACAATTGCGAGCTTTGAAGTCGACGCTTTTTCTCCCACATATCTTTGTCTTGTCAATTTCGTGTTGAATTTGCAATTGATAGGTCAAGAACAGCTTGTGCTTGCAGTGTCGACTTTGTAGAGCAACCGGCACTTCTTTGGATTTGCTCCAAGGTACCCCGCAGCGGCAGTCTCTGATCCCGGAGGTTGGGAATCAATGGCTGATGCCAAAGCTGCGTCGTTAAAGATGTTTCTGATGTCAAGGCGTAAACGAAGGCTTCACGGGCAATTCATCAAGATGGCTAACACATGATATTTCTTGACTCATGGTGCTTCCGCATTTAAGATGTGCGCGATACTGTCGGTTATTCTTGGTTCATTGATTTGCAGGTGGGTGCAGCTGCTTCACCGCTTGTATTGCCATTGCCTGCCACGAAGCCAGCTGCTGCCACCAGTGCAGCATCTAGCCCAGGCATCCCCCAGTGTTCGAACATGTTTGCAATATCTGCAACACCATGCAATAGAAGTAGAGCCCGGGCAAGCCGGGTGACGGAAGTTTCGAGAGAGGGAAGAACCTTTAAAGACAAGGGAGAGCCTATAGGAACAACGCCTGACAGCATGGCTGGCACGGCCGTCGACTGCGTGATCTCTTGGAAGCCTTTGTCCCTGACATTTCTTGCTCTCAACATCTTTGTCTAATGCTGCCACTTTCTCTTGATCCGGCTTGCTCCGGACATTTCTGAATCTTGACAGCCCTTCTTGTCGACAGCTCTGGACTCTGGAGCCAGAGACTTGACACACCCTTCTCTCCTGACAAGCTTTTTCTGATGTCATCGCTGTTTCTTGAAACCGATGTCGTTTCAGCCGCTTTCCGTTGACGTCTCTTTCTCTTGGCATGCTTCTCTTTGAGCATTTCTTTTGCTTGAGACCTGCTTCTCTTTTGATCTGGCTTGAGCTTGTCATCTTTGAATCTTGACAGCGTTTTTCTTGTTGACAGCTTTCTTCAGTTCCCTATTCTTTTCAGTTCCTAACAATCCCTGCTGTCTCCAGCAACTTATTGAGTTTTCCAGTGTTTGTTCCAGCATGGGTCCACGATTGTTCTTTATTCCCCTCGTTTCCACCGATTTCTAGCGTTTTAGCCGCATTTCCATTGACGAAACAATAGCATCAGTATCATCAATATCATCAATATCTAGGGTCTAAACTATTTCGTGCTCCTGTGTTTTCCAACAAATGCTTTTGGTAGGCATTCGAATCATTTGAATAAGCATAAAGCAGGCGGCTGCTGCACTTGGAGTTAAATGATGCCAACACACTTTCACTAGCAATCGGACTGAAATGCTTGATTTGTGCCAAGTTTCATTGGAAGATTGTTTGGTCATAGATCATCGATGTAAAGTTTGTTGTTTTTATTTTTTCCAAGTTGGGACCAGATTTAAGATCATCAGCGGCTCCTCGGGGACTAAAGCGTTTCCTTGACGCTCGGAACTTCCTGCTTCAACCCAGTTTTGCAATTTTGGAATACCTGAAGGAAAAAGTGTTCAAAACACACTTACGTGCGGGCAAACCGCATGGATGCAAAAAAACATGAAAACCATAAAAAAGATGCTGGTTCGGGGTCAAATTTCAAAACATCTAAAGATTATATTTTTTGCACGCCCAGATTTGCACCAATAATTGGTAAACCCTGCCACCCTCACCGGCCACCCTCCGGGCACCACTTTTTGTGGGGGTGCTGAGCAGTCACTGACCCTGCCAATATCCAATCAATCCAGTCATATCTATACACCATGTCTGTTGAAAGACGATAACAAATTTGAAGAGCTTGGCCATGGGCCATGGCCAGGCGCCTCCTTGCTCCATGGTCAGCTGGATGAAGAGGCAGAAGCGATTGCCTTCCAAGAAGCGGTCGCGGCCTGGAGAAACGCAGGTGGCTTGGCCCATTGGGGCGATGCATCAGTTGATAAAGTATCAAAGTCAATTTTTCCCCTGAAAAGATGCAGAAATGAGAAATTGAAGAAAACGGGGATGGAGGCATTAGAATCCGTACATTTTTTTTGCCGGGGAAGCATGGAAGATTTCCAAGAAAAAGGCTGCTGCGGGGGAAGATTGTGAAGGAAAGGACAAATTTGAACAGAAGATTGAGGACCTAGATTTGTTTAGTCTGGTTTTGGGGGGTGAGAGGCGTTGAAATAATTGGTGGCTTCTGTTGGGCGCAAGTTCTGAGTCTCTGAGAAGCCGCTTTGCGTAGGGGACGTTTTCACACTGCAAGACGGAACCAGCAAGGCACATCCCGACGGCTCCCCATGCCGATCCATGAGAATATGTTAAACTAAGATAAATTAAGGCCAGCCAAAGATGACCAGAGATGAGCAGATCATGGAACAGCCTGGTAGAGCTGAGACCACCACTGCTCCTGGGCATGGATTGGCGTCAGCACCTCATGGAAGCAGAATGCCAAGAAGGTCAGCTGGTCCTCCTTCGCTCATGACATCTTTTGATTCCAGGTTCGTAGTGTTTCGGCGTGATGCAAAATAATCCCTGCCATGCCATTCAACAACCACCAACAAAATCCAACAAAAACTTAGGTGCCTTCAGCGCCAGCTGCCGTAAAGAAGTGCTGCTATCAATGCTTCAGAGCCTTGGGCGCTTGGGTACACCCGTCCCATCGCACAGATGCCACAGTTGCAACACGGCCTTTGCCGCACATGTTTCGGCCAGCGCGACTCTACCTACTACAATCCAGGGTTGTCTGCTCTCATTGGTTGTCTTCCCTCATTGGATATCTCAGCAACAACGCCGGACTTGGGTCAAAAAGATAGGCCCATGCCGTCCGGAACATGTCCTCAAGGGCGGATGGGCAAGGTGCCATTTGATCAACTTGCTTGGTGGTTGATGTTCTTCCTGGGCTCTGGACTTGGGCGACCTTGCATCTAAGGACAATATTTGGAGTCGCATCTTGGATGGCATTGGCTGGGCCCATCTCACGAAAGCCTCGTTCATATTCCTGCGGCGTGGATCCATGTGAGGCGCGAAGATGCCCAAAGTGGTCCCAGCTTCTGCTCGGAGAAATGTGCAGAACAACATGCAGATGGTCTCCGACGGAAGGTGCCGCGATGTGCAATTTAAAGCATCATTTATATAAAGGATTATTCCCCACACTTGTTTTTTAGGTGCTAGTCACTAGTCGTTGGAAAGCCCTCTGTTTTGGGGTTGCCTGTTTTTTTAGAACATGCCTTTTATTGAAAAGCATTTTATATTCTCTTCTTGTCGGAAAGATCCACAGCACAACCTTCTGCAAGACCGTCCTTGGCTGCATTCTTGCAACACGCTTTGTCCTGATAGCTGTATTGGAGCGGGACATCCACGTTGACTTAAAAGCTCGAAATAAGCTCACCCAAAAGCTTGGGATGGACATTCAAGTTGCTTATGTTCACACCAAGCAGTTCAAATGCCGTGCAAATTTGCACCATAGGAGCTCCTAACACAATACCTGCCTTTGGTCCACCTTGCCTGTGGTCCACCCACGCTCCATGACACATGCTTTGTCGATAAGACCATGCAATTTCAGGAAGAATTTAAGCAACAACAGTTAAACAAATTTAAAACCGATGAATAAAAGATCAATAAACAAGAGATAGCCAATAAACAATATATGCGCAAAAACTAGACAAACTAGTATATTACATTATCTAGACCGCCTGGGCTGGCCAAAATTGATTCCATAAAATTGCAGAAAAATTGGAAGCGTTCGGCGCGCCAAAAACTCCGCATTTACGAAGCTACGATTGAACCAATGGTTCTTTACAGCTTATAATTCATTGAAATCTACCCTGCTCGAAAGAAAATATCTGATACAACTGGGCAAGGTTCTGCGATGTTGACCTGACCATCCTTTGCAACACACTTTCGCCGGGAGATTTTGTTGTAGCAATGCACCGTTGCGCGAGGGCCGTGGGTAGGCCTTGTAAAGACTGGATACATATCAGAATTTTGATTGCGGGCCGGTACTTTACTTTATTGGTAGTACGGAAAACCGCTGTGCAAACTGAAGATGAATGGCGCTAGTGGAACCTAAGATCCTCTATCCTTAAAAAAGTATGCATTTGAAAATTTGAAAGGTACACGGCCCTTATGGTTAGGGGCTGTGTCTTGGAATAGATTTCTGGTATTCCCTTTATTGCCTATACTATAGATTTCGAATGTTTTTTTCCAGGAAAAGTATATCAATTTGCAATCGCCTGTCAAAGCATGTTAAGATTATAGTCATGATTGGATGATAATTCCTTTGTCCTTTATACCATTAGTACCGCACAAGGCGGTAGCGGAAGTGTCAGGGATAGGACACTATAGGAGAGGTGAGTTGTTGTGACGCATGGATGGCAGAGCGAATCCACTGATGGACCGAAAGGTGGTTGGAGTTGTGCTTTTTGGAGTGGTTGCAATGGTTGCAGTGGTCACCTCACTCACAACTCCTGGATGTAGTGTGGTGTAGTGCAGTAGTTGTAGTTGTAGTTGTAGTTGTATTGGGGTTGATGTTGTTGAAGTTGTAATGTTGTAGCTGTAGTTGTAGTTGTAGTGTAGTTGAAGCGCAGTTGAAGTTGTAATTGTCTTAATTTGTAGTAATTGTAGCAGTTGCAATAATTGTAGGAGTAGTAGTTGCAGTTGTAACTGCAGTTGTAGTTGCAGTGGTAGTTGTAGTTTGTAGTGTAGTGTCGTGGTAATTGTTGTAGTAGTAGTGTGGTTGAAGTTGAAGTTGAACTTGTAGTTGAAGCGTAGTTTTAGTGTAGATGAAGTTGTAGTCGCAGTTGTAGTTGCAGCTGTAGCTGCAGTTGCAGTTGTAGTGTGGTTGTAGTACGTCTTGCAGTTGTGGCGGTACTGCAGTTGTAGCTGCAGTGGCACTTATAATTGTAGTTGTAGTAATCGTAGTTGAGGTTGTATTTGTAGTTGAAGTGTAGTTGAACTTGTATTTGTGGTTGTAGCTGTAGTTCTTGTAGTTGAAGTGTAGCTGAAGTGCAGTTGAAGTTGTACTTGTAGTGGTAGTGTAGTTGCAGTGGCAGTTGTAGTTGTAGTTGTAGTTGTAGTTGTAGTGTGGTGTAGTGCAGTTGCAGTTGTCTATCTATCTGTTGATATATATATGTGTGTGTGTTTTTCTATTTGTCTTTCTGTTTATCTATCTGTCTATCTATCTATTTGTCGTTCTGTTTTTCTATCGGTCTATCTATCTATCTATCTATCTATCTATGTGCAAGTTTGAAAACGAAGCTAGTCTGCGATACTTCCTCAATTTTTGAACTTGAGAACATCAAAAACACAGCAATTCTGCGAGACGTCCTCAACTTTTGAACTTGACAACGTCAAAAACGCAGCTATTCTGCGAGACTTCCTCAATTTTTCAAGTTAACAACGTCAAAAACGAAGCAATTCTGCGAGACTTCCTTCAAAAATGGAAAGTTGAGTGCAGAGCTGACAGCCTCGCACCAATGCGTTTTGCGATTTTTCCACTCCACTTGTCTAAAGTATTGCGCCTCCCACGAACAAAGTGACGCCAGGCCATGCGAAGTGCTGCACTTGTCACGCAAAATCATCTTCCCAAAACTGAAGATCTGACGCTCCAAAATGCAACCCTCTCAGGAAATCAGCGCCCGGACCTCCTAACAGCTCTGACTTGTACTGCCCCTGCCATGGAAAATGCATCTTTGCAGATTTTCTTCAAGTGTCCCACGCCTGCCATCGTTTTTGGAAATGCTACAAATCCCTAACGTTTTGCTCACTTTTGACAAGGTGCACAGTCCCTTGCGCCTGCCACGCGAAACGACATCTGAACGTCCAAAAGTGGTCCGAACATGTGGTGTTTTTACCATTTTGACCTCGAAATGTGCTTCGCGCCAGAACAGCGTGCACTTTCTCGACATCTCATCTTCCAAAAGCTGTCTGAACGTGGTGTGCTTTGTACATTTTGACTTCGAAACGTGCTTCGCGCCACAACGGCGCGCACTTTTTCGAAATCTCAACTTCCAAAAGTGCTCCGAATGTCAAATGTTTTGTACATTTTGACTTCGAAATGTGCTTCGCACCACAACGGCGTGCACTTTTGTGACATCTCAACTTCCAAACGTGCTCCGAATGTGAGGTGTTTTTAGCTTTGTCACTTACAAATGTGCTTCGCACCACAACGGCTTGCACTTTTTCGACATAGCAACTTCTAAAAGTGCTCCGAAGCTGAAATCTTTTGTACATCTTGAGTTGGACATGTGCTTCGCGCCACAACGCCGTGCAATTGTTCATCTCTCATCTGGCCAGCTGGCTCCGCACCCGCCGCTTTAGCGAACCTACTTTTCAACCCTCCGGAGCCACAAATCATTGGAAAAACACAGCGTTTCGCGATTTTCCTACCTCTTCGCGCGCCTGGATCTTCTTTCTTCTGAAACTTTCTCTTTTCTGATCTTCTTTCTTCTTCTCTTCTCTTCTCTGACTCTTCCTATCTCTGCTTTTTATCTGTCGATATTGTCGGAGATTTGACTTTAAACTTCCTTCGATAATGAATACATATGAATACCAATTTGGATAATTCCCTACCTGCAAGGTGGGGGTCTCTAGTTTTTAATTTCCTCCCTCCCCCCTTCCTCTCCTTATTTTGTTTTCTACTCCTCTATATTCCTCTGCCAGCTCGTCGCCAAGCAGCATCGCAAGCTCCGGATGCAACTGGACCAGATGCAGTTGGGCACGCAAGGATCCGAAATCTATGCAAGCTTTGGATGTAGCTGGGCACGTTTGGGCCCGAAAACATCCTCAAGAAATCTTTAAAGGAAAATATCAATTGGAATGCTAGACAGAATTGCCAGACAGAATGCTAAAATATATGATCAATAAAATGATAAAAATGCTAAATAGAATGCTAGAAAATGTTAAATAAAATTCTAAACAAAATCTCAAAATTATGTTAAATAATATTTTACAATATTTATTATTAAATTACTAAACGGAATATTACAAGAAAAAAAACAATATACCTGATACCTTAGAAAAAATAATACGAATTAAATTATATGTTATTTATAATTGAAAAAAATATAAATTAAATTAATTTTGAAATTATTAATTTTAAAATAATTAAAATTATTTTAAATTAATATATATATTAAACACATATAATTTAAATTATTTTATTTAATAAAATATAATAAAATTATTTAAGATTAAATTATTATTAATAATATGACGGTAAGGGTAACATTATTACTAATATTACGGTAAGGGTGATATTGTACATATATAAATTAATTAATTTAAAATTAAATAAAATAATTATTTTGAATTTTTGACCGTATATATTTTTAGTTTGTACGAAGATATTACGAATATTCTTGCGGTCGACCTTTTTTGGATTTTTTTAATGATACCGAAATAATTTGAATATTTTGGAATTTTGAAAACTGAAAATTCTAAAATATGTTGGCTTTTTCCTTACCTGCTAGGTAAGAATTGTTAGATTTTATTAGACTTAATCTCCTCGGTTAGCTGTCCTCCTCGTCCTCGTCCTCCTCCTCCTTATTTTCTACTTTTTCCTCTTCTTCCTCCTCCTCTGCTTCCTCTTGTAATGTTTCCTCGACTATGTTTATATTAATTTCCATTTTAATTTCCGCCTTGCTAACTCTTCGCCAAGCTCTTTGCTAACTTCCCAGCTCAGTGTGTATCGCTGGACCTCAATCTGGGATCTTCCTAGCTTAGTGTGCACCGCTGGACCTCAACCTGGGACCTTCCCAGCTCAAAAAGCACCGCTGGACTTTAAAAGCCATATAAAATGCCAGAAAATATATCCGATAAAATATCAAATAAAATATAAAAAAATATCAGATAAAATACCATAAGATTTGCCAAATGATATACCAGAGAATATACTAAATAAAATGTTAAAAAATATATTAAATAGAATATCAGAAGGTATACCAAATAAAATCCGAAATAAAATGATAAATAGAATACCAGAAGATATGCCGAATAAAGTGCCAGAATCTTTACTAGATAGAACGTCAAAAGATTTACCAGATAGGATGCTAGATAAAATATCAGAAAATATGCCAAAAAATATACCAAATAAAGTATCAAAAGATATGTCAGAATATATACCAGAATATATGCCAGGTAGAATGCCGGAAGATATATCAGATAAAATGCCAAAAGATATGTCGGATAAAATGCTAGAAAATATGTCAGATAAAATACCAGAAGATTTGTCAATAATAAAATGTACAAATGTCGTGGTGGGGATCACACGAAGTAAAATAATTGGGATTTTTATTTTGCGGTTCCAGTCCTGGTCCCGCGTCGCAATTCCATAATGATTCCTCGATAGTAATTTTGGAAAATAATTTTGGTAAAATTTCCAGAACAATTTTAAGGAATAATTAATTTAAAAAATAGTAGCATTAGGGAGCAGCTTTCGGGGGCAGCTTTACGAACAATTTCGGGGAGTAGTATTTCAGTAGTAACTGTAGGAAACAATTTTCGCGAATTACTTTGCAAAATAATTTTGGGGAGCCGTTTTAGGACATAAATTTAAAGAATTATTGCTTCGAAAAAACAATTTTAGATAGTAATTTTTTAATTCTCGTAATTTTTACCGAAACCCAGCTATCCTTTCTCGTTTTTACCCCACAACCACCAATTCCCTATCATACTAACAACGGCCGAAAAATCGCCGTCCAAAACCAAATTAATATTATTTTCGAAAAATAATTTATTAATAAACATATATCCATATGTTTATTAATAAATTATTTTTCGAAAATAATATGTATTTTTTTAATAAATTTATTTTTAATATTTATATTTTATATAATTGTTTTTTTAATATAAATTATATTTAATAATTTTAAAAAAACATAAATATAAATTTTTATATATAATAAAAATAACAATAATATTAAATATAATTATATAATTATATTAATTAAATTATTTATTTAATAAATATAATTTAATTTAAAAAAATATTAATATATATATATATTTAATTAAAATATAAATATATATTAAATTTATAATTATTTTAAAATTTAATATATAAGTTCCAAAAAATATTTAAATTATATTAAATTTACCCTATTTAAAATATATATATATTATAATTTTAAAACCAAAATAAATAAAAAATAAAAATAGAAATTATAAATATATAAAATAATTTAATAATATTTATTTATAAAAAAAATAATATATTAATATAAATTTATATAATTATTAAGAATTTATATATATTATTATATATATATATATTTAAAATAAATTTTAAATTTTATTATTTAATTAGAAAAATTATTATAATAATTAATATTATATATTTTAAATTTAATTTTTAATATTCCTTTCCTTTAAATTTATTTTCATTAAATTTATGTGATTTAGATTATATAATTATATATTTATTATTTTATTTTAAAATATATTTAGAATAATTCCTCCTTGAAATTATGGATATTAAATATTCAAAATCTCAAAGATTTTAAAAATTACCTGAAATTTCAATGCCTCAACCTCCTCAAGCCATATCGATTGATTATATCACCTATTACCATTGAGACCCTTACTCCAGAAGAACTTGAACTATAACTTTCAACAACCAGAAATGCAGAGCTCAACTTGGAATGTGGGCCCCAACAGGAACTTCGATCTTCACCTTAAGCCAGAGCTTACTTCCTTGCCCTCAACTATGCAATCCCATGCAAACTCCAGAAGATTGACCCCACCAAGAAGCTACCTTTCATTGACCTTCAGCAGGTCGAAACTCCAACACTTGAGATTCAAGAGTTCTACGCCCATATTATCCTCGAGCAGTAAAACATTCACATTCAGATCGACACCATGGATACCAGATTGAAGACATTGGAATCCACGATTGACAGCAAAGCACTCCTTCTTTGAGGACTACCAGCTACAGAATTTACAATTAACAACCTCGAATGGAACATCCTTCTACATTGCACATGAAGAACAAGGACCCATAGTAGCACTTCGACTTTCCATAATTATTCAGCAACTCTTCCATCACTACCAGGTCGACACAGGTCTCACCACAGATGTACACCGATGCAACAATCTCATTGTACAAAAACAATGCCCCCTTTGTGACCACCACCTCCATTTCATCAAGAACGAGAGGAAGTCTTACCAGCATATCCTAAGTTCTTCATTTGAGTTGATCAATACCCTCCAGTTCGACTACATAGTGGATGAGCTTACCAACTTCTTTCTTGGCATGGACCTCTACACCAACAATGAGCTGACGCACTTTAACTCAATTTGTACCTGTTTCACCGATGTAGCCTATAATTTGCTCATGTTTGTCGACCTAGGCCTGGGAATAAGCTTCAGATTCCCAATAGAGGCTAAAGGCGGTACCACTCCTTTACCGGACACAATCCCACCATGAGCAGCTACAGCTGGCAGGGGCCGCCAGAGGCTTGCCGGGAAACCACGGTCCATCTAAACAATCATTCTTTTCCTTCCAATATAAGTTGCCTCCTCAAAGTCAGACTTATGGTCATGAACCCTGCCGTGTGTCGCGGAACCGTTCACATCAGAACCTTAGATCCGAAACAGCCCGTAATAGTAGACTTCACTCATATTTTACTCCACCGACAAAATCGTCGTAGTTTCTTGATAACGCCCTCGATGAATGGCCAACCCCCAAAGCGCACCTGTCCTTCTTCACAGGGACAATGTAGGTCAAGTTGTTGAAAGTGACTGCGACGCCTTTGCCGCTCTGTCCGCCGGTCTTTCCAGCCATCGTCACGGTCAGGTAGAATCTCTGGAAGAGATCGGACTATGGGATTCGTGAAGCCTGAACTTTGAGCAGGCACGCATGATCAAGAAAGTCCTCTTCAGTTGACTCACAGATTTTCATCAGCGGTACTTTGAGTTGCTGTCGAGCATTGACATGTTGGAGACCAAGAATCAATATGTGTCTTTCAGGTGAACATAGTCTGGACTTGAAATATTCACAAAAATTGTGCTCTTGTCCTTGTTGTGAATTCTCTCCTTCAAATTTCACGAGAGCTCAACACAACAGACTGGCATGATGTTGTTGAATCCAGTTCCATAGGTGCCCAAATGCTTCGCCAAAGAAGATTCCAAAATTTTGATCATGGATGGATGGATGGGTGGGTGGGTGGGCGGATGGGCGGATGGAAGGATGGGTGGATGGGTGGATGGGTGGATGGGTGGATGGGTGGATGGGTGGATGGGTGGATGGGTGGATGGATGGGTGGGTGGATGGATGGATGGATGGATGGATGGAATAGATAGGTAGGTGGGCAGGCAGATAGCTAGACAGCTAGATATATAGGTAGATAGGTAGATGGGTAGATAGGTAGAAAGGTAGATGAGATAAGATAAGTTTAGATTGGATTAGATTCGATAAGATAAGATCAAATATAATAGAGGTATGCAGGGGTTTGGCGAAAAAAAACCTGTATAAAAAATAAAGGTGAAAGACGTAAAAGTAAAGATGGAGATCAAGATACGGACAAAGATGAAAAATAAAATAAATACAAGGATAGGCTAGTAAGTAAAACATAAGATACCACAAAGTTTGCCAAGGTAAAATAGATAGATCATAGCTGCATACGTGTGTGTGATCTCTATATATATATACACACATGCATATAAGATGATTTAGTTGCGTAGTATTCGCAACCTCAGGTCCAGCAGTGTTTGATCAACATTTCCACGGTTTGTTTTTTTTGCCCCAGTGAGGTTGGAACCTCTGCAATTTGGCTACAGAAGAAAGCAGGGCTGGGCAATGGACCTTTGGATTGAGGTGTTGAACAAGAGGTAGAGGGAACCTGCAAGAGTCTTAGAACTGTGTCACGTATCATCTATTTATTGGTGCCTTAGTATCTAAAATCTGCCTGGTGTGTTCCGTTACAAAGTCTGGCCCAAACGCTTTTGAAACATTCTACGACGAATGACTCGGGGAGTCCGGGGTAAACGTGCAAATATCAAAGCACTTTGCCCAGCCATGCTTTCGACTGTGAGCCGACTTCTCCGGCAACCCATCGGTCAGAGAGTGCAACAAATTCTCCTGGACAAAAGCAACCAAAAACTTGTGATGTAGGCTGAGTCAACTCCTAAAAATGTTTTTTACAAGGCAGAATTTCTATTGTTTTTTGACAAGGTCATCACTTGCTGCACCCCACTCCAACGGTGGATGTAAAGCGTTTTTTGGGAGTGAAACATTTTGAGGCCATCCGGTGGCTGCCGTGGCCGCACAGGCACCCTTCAGCAGCCTCTGGTCTGATTTGGGACATGGACTCAGCAAAGAGTTTGATCGCGCACAGAACCACAATTCATGGTCCCACAGCATACTGGATTCTCTAAAGTTTGTCATGGTTCAAACACGGTAGTTTGCATGCTATTAAAGAAAGTGCTGCCAGCATGTTACCAATAGAATGTTGTTTCATCATTGTTCGTTTTCATTGTCATGCATCGGCACATTCTTGGTTCGCCCTGCCCTTCCCCCCACCGCGCCCGCGTTATGACGTACATCATCGCCGATGGGTCCATTGATTTGTGTCACCATCTTTTAAAGTTTGACTCTGACAAGTGCTGGGGTGGCAATAATGGTGATGGCAATTATATATAAGGATGACATGAAAATGATGGTTCCTGACATGATGACAATGAAATCAGCAGGAACAAATGATCAGCAACCCAGCAGCAACAAAGCCAATTCCACAATGCAAACAACGCCACTGCAGTGGGCCTCAGAGGCCTCTACAACAAAACGGCATGAAAATAGAAGAAGACTACAAAATACAAACATCTACAAACCTCAAATGTGATATTTTGAAACTTGAACGAGGACAAGCAGCAAAACTGCAATAATGAAAGCCATGCTGGGAAAGAGGGAGAGAGAGAGAGAGAGGGAGAGAGAGAGAGAGAGAGAAACCGACAGCAAGAACAATCATCATGAACATCATCAACATCAACAGTCATCAAAGGCAGGACAAAACATATGAAAGAAACACAACTGTCCGCTGAGGCTGGACGTTGTCCATGGCGCCATGCCATCACAACAAGTTTGCTTCCCCTTCAAGTCTTGACTGATTCCCTGGTCCGTCCCTTCAAAATTGCGCCTTACAACCCCAACATGTGTGTCAATTTAGCTTGCCATGAACGTGCTGGCAACACCAAAAGTAAGGCCCACACTCATTTCCAAGCTTTCCTCAAATCTGAACACAAAAGAAACATCTTCCAACTGACACTGCGGGTTCAACACAAGTCCAGCCAACAGGACCGTGACCGTGACCATACTCCATTTCCAGAGGCGTCCCGAACAAATGAAAAACCAAATCAATAAATTGCCCAAAAATGCTCTATCTCACCTTCTCGAAAGACGGAAAATTTCTCCAACATGTTCATGGCCAGTTTACTAACTATGCACTCTGCCACCCGTCGGCCCCTAGCTCTTCTCAATTGGGCCTAGTTTGTTTCTGCTGGGTTCGCTGACGTGGCTACGGGCGATGGCGGAGGTCGGGACCAAGGAGTGTCTGAGACCTGGGCAGGTTCCAAGACCGTGTGATGCTTGGAATTGATTGTTTTTCAGCCTACCAGCTTTGCATACATGGGTGACAGCAACTGTGTGCCGTTTCTTGTGACTTTCTCTCCAAGAGTTGTGTCTTAAAGGCATCTGGATTTCCTGTTCAATGGATTCAAAGTGCATGACCAGAAAAACTGCCTCCCCTGTGCCTACAACCATCCTGGACAATCCTCATTTTCTTGGTCCGCTGCATAAATGGCCCGGTTGGAGTAGGGCGATGTAGATCTCCCAGACCGCCCCATGGGACTGGGCGTCCCGTGACTCCTGGGACTGACCCTGGAGCTAGGCCTCGTGGCAGCACCCAAGTTGGACCCAGACTGGTCCTTGCTCTAAGGATCTTGAAGGCTTGAGAATTATTAGGCATGGATATACAATATTCATGGTTCATCTATATGCAGCATATGCTGTGCATAGTTTACATATATATATATATGTGTGTGTAGTGTATCTCGTCTATATCACTGGTACACGTTAGTCATTGTATACGCTGCGTATGCGCCGCATCTACACTGTACATGCCTCTATGTGTAAATATATATAAATTATATGCATATGTATATGAACTGCATATGCCACGTGTATATGCATATAAATGTATATATAAATATATATTTAATGATATTTAATTTTATTATATTCTATCTTAGTTCATAACATGAAATTATATTATATTAGACTATATTGTGCTATATTATGTTATAAATATAGATCTTGGACTGTCCCCCCTTACACTAACAATCACCACAATCCAGACCACAAAAAAAAGCTCAAGCACGATGAACCCAAAATGCCATTGAGAAGTTGGGTTGGCACATTTTGTCAGTCTACCAACCCACAAAGAAGTTGGGTTTTTCACAGCATGAACCCAATAGTTCATAAAGAAGTTGGGTTTGTATATACTTTGACCGGAAAAGGCCAATGAGAGCTTAGGTCTGTATATTGAAAAATCCTGGGCAATCCAGTACAGAGACTCAGATTATGCACCATCCTATCGAACCACAGGAGGCCCACCAAATAAATGGGTGTTTATGCTTTGTAGGCTGCCCCCAGGGTGATTTTGTTGGATAAAAATTCTTCATGACTAATATGACTTATCACAGAAAAAAACAATCATATCTCATTACATATGACGCATGTGACAGAATCATGTGTGCTGATACTCTGACACACCCTAGTCTTTACTTTGAAAAGCTTTGCTTCTCAGTTTAAAAGTATCATTGGCCGAAGGTTTTTCATATCGAATCATATGAATCACACGAACCATTTCATTGACTTGGCTGCCTGGTGTTCAAGCTAACCTGGGGCTTCACACTAACAGGTGCCAGAGATGGCCACACTAACGGGTGCCAGAGCTGGCCACACTAACAGGTGCCAGAGATGGCCACACTAACGGGTGCCAGAGCTGGCCACACTAACGGGTGGCACGGCCCTCAAGCAGGATCCAGTCTCAGGCTGGGCTGGCAGGCCCTAGTCGACTGCAGGTTCAGGACAACCTGTGGATTTGGCGGGGGCTGCGGTTGTAAACTTTTGGGCTGGGAAGTTGTGCTTTTTAAGCCTAAACGTTGTGTTTTGTTTGTGCTTTTTCTTGTGGTTAGTTGTGCTGTTTGCTGTGCTAATTTTTGTGATCAAATCATCAGGGAAGTTGTGCACTTTTTGTGCTTTTTGTTGATGAAGTTGTGAGGTTTGTTGTGCTAATTTTTGTGATCAAATCATCAGGGAAGTTGTGCACTTTTTGTGCTTTTTTTGTTGATGAAGTTGTGGTCGGTGCCAAATATAAAATCAATTAAATGTTTTTATTTTTCCTTGGCTTGTTGTTGTGCAAAAATGATCAGGGAAGTTGTGCTCTTTAAGCCTAAACGTTGTGGGTTTTGTTGTGCTTTTTCTTGTGGTTAGTTGTGCTGTTTGTTGTGCTAATTTTTGTGAACAAATCATCAGGGAAGTTGTGCACTTTTTGTTCTCTTTTTGCATGGGAAGTTGTGCTTTTGATATTTTCTACCTTTTCCAAAAGCACGGCCGAGAGCACAAAAAAAAGCACAACATCAAGCAAGGGTTTTCCCTTAGCAAAATTTGTCCCTCAGCAAAACTTGTCACTGAAAAATGTGTCCCTTAGCAAAAATTTTTCCCCTTAGCAAAATTTGTCCCTTAGCAAAACTTGTCCCTTAGCAAAATGTGCCCCTTAGCAAAACATATCACTGAGCAAAATTTGTCCCTTAGCAAAATTTTCCCTTAGCAAAATGTGTCACTTAGCAAAACTTGCCCCTTAGCAAAATTTGTCCCTTAGCAAAACTTGTCACTGAAAAATTTGTCCCTTAGCAAAATTTCCCCTTTTGCAAAATTTGTCCCGTAGCAAAACTTGTCCCTTAGCAAAATTTGCCCCTTAGCAAAACTTGTCACTGAGCAAAATTTGTCCCTTAGCAAAATTTGTCCCTTAGCAAAATGTGTCCCTTAGAAAAACTTGTCCCTGAGCAAAACTTGTCCCTTAGCAAAACTTGTCCCTGAGCAAAATTTGCCCCTTAGCAAAAATTTGTCCCTTAGCAAAACTTGTCCCTTAGCAAAATTTGTCCCTTAACAAAACTTGTCACTGAAAAATTTGTCCCTTAGCAAAATTTTCCCTTTAGCAAAATGTGTCACTTAGCAAAACTTGCCCCCTAGCAAAATTTGCCCCTTAGCAAAACTTGTCACTGAAAAATTTGTCCCTTAGCAAAATTTCCCCTTTTGCAAAATTTGTCCCTTAGCAAAACTTGTCCCTTAGCAAAATTTGCCCCTTAGCAAAATTTGTCACTGAGCAAAATTTGTCCCTTAGCAAAATTTGTCCCTTATCAAACTCGTCCCTGCACTGCTGCCTTTCCCTTTGCCCAGAAGGGATTTTATCCAACAAAATCTCTGCAAGCTCCAACTGAATAGATTTGATCTGGTTCCAAGTAGGCTGCCCCCAGAGTGGTTTCATACTTCGGTTCAACATCAGAAAATTTTGGATTGAGAAGATTGGGCCTCTCAAATTGTTTGTGGTTTTGGTCCCTGGGTTGTTGTGCAATTTTGGCTGGGAAGTTACAATTAAAATCCATTATTCCACTGTTAGTGGGGGGTCACTCCAATATATATATATATATATATATCAATATGCGTGTGTGTGTGTGTTTACATGTATACATATTATATCTTTAATATAAAAAATAGACCATAATATAATATAATATAATATAATATAATATATCATAACATAACATAACATAACATAATATAATATAATATAATTTAATTTAATTTAATATAATGAATTCTGTTTATATATATATATATTTATATATATATTTATTTATTTATTTGCAGTATTATCAGTATTATATATACACACACATGTACATAACACGCCGGAAAAAAAAATATATATATATATACACATATATATATATATGTACATATTGCACATACGGTACATGCTAAAGTCCATGCCAAGTCAAAAACATGATCTGACGACAAACTCTTTGCCGACGGTATATCTCAGTACCTAACGAGCGGCTAGTTGTCACAGGCCTGCCGGGTGACCTCGATCAGTTCAGCTGTGAGAACTCAAATTTCGAATTCTTGCTGGTGCGCGTCAAACTCCTTCAACATGGTTTTCTGCTGCCTTGAGCGTAGGTCAATGCACAAAAACGCCCATGTGTCTTGATGACAAAATGTGACTAGCATGGTGCTTTGGATCGATTAATCCAAGGACCACCATCTCACAGAAATCCAAGATGTTACAACCCTCCCCCCAAAAAAAAAACGACAACAAGGCAGGCTGATCCATGAGCATGGCAAACTTCTATATATTCACCCAGCTCCACAATGAATACTGTAGGCCCCCCAACTTGGACGCAGTGGACCTGCAAATAAATTGAAGAAGGTTTCTCTCGTTTTGGGCTGCACTTGTTTGCAGAGACTTTTGAACATCACAGATCATCATAGCGGGCCCGACCCAATATGCAAGCTAGCCAGTACCTCAAGGTGAAGTGAAAATGACCCTGTGCCTGTCACCAGTGTCGAAGTTTTCAGGCCTCATTCAGCTCATTACCTATCTACTGGATGATCAGTTCCACCAAAAGCTCCTGAGACTGAAACTACTTCACTACGTACTTGGGGATGCAGTTGGGATTATTAATGATCACAAGCATGGCAATAATAGCCTTCATAAGCTGGGATATCGAACCCCCTTCCACTTATAAATACAGTAACTATGGTGATATATGGTGGTGTAATGTATCCATATATACGATCCACTTATAAGTGGAACTAAACCCCCCAAATAATTCCCAGCACATACTGCACACATGTTTGAACTCCGACGCAGAAGTGACAAGTCATCCTGGGTGGCGGTGCTTTCCAAAGGAGATCAGCGACGAGCGATTTGCCCGGGCATCAGGTGACAAGGAGCGCTCCCACCTAGGCGTTCCACTCCCAAGAGCCCTACACGACTGATGCTGTATCCATTACAGCAGCTAATCCCCACATGAAGGTTTCCTGGTCTCATGGTTGTACCGCACATCATCCAAAATTGGAACAGTTCACATCAGTTCAGTATTAAAACCTATGGTTTTGAGGATCCCCCATTTCAAGAAACTCTCCCATAAGGTCCGCCAAGGTGCAGGAGCTGGGGCTGCTCCCCTCGAGTCAGGTCCTGAAAACCCCCCAAATCGCTTCATGAGAAGCGGTTCAACCCTCAACCTTTCCAGAGACGGTCCATCCATACTACCCAAAATTCAAATTGCGCACGCTATCTCTCCAAAACTGTTGCTTAGACTCAAGGTGTTTCAGGTATCTACCCTTCTGACCACAATATTCACTTGCTGGCGCAAATTTGCAGTCCTGCAGGCCGCGCTCGGAAGTAGGCGAAGGAGAATTCTCCAGCCTCAGTCCCAAAGTTGGATTGATCCTGTGGAAGTCTGAATGCAGCATCCATCGCCATGGACCAAGGCCAGGAAAGATAGTAAAGGTTTCAACACTTGCACCGGCATAATGTGCTTCAGATCAGCACGTCTGAGCAGTTTGGAAAACCACCAGCCCGTTCATCTGCTGCCCCCCCGTGCTGCCCAGCGAGTGTACATGCCGCTCTTTAGACCTGCCAAAGGTGCAGAAACTCTAGCAGGTCTTACTCGTGAAGGTGTGATCTGGTGGCATCCACAAGAAGCTGAATGCGACCCATCCCCAGTTGGTTCACTTTTGCCAATTGAAACACCTGGCGAATTGGATCAAAACAGTGACCCCTGGACTGCAGCCTCAATGGCAAAAGGACTCCATCTGAACGTCCAAAGCTGCGTCCGCACCTTGTGTTGCAACTGGCCCTAGGGGTTGGCTGCAGGAATCATCTTGGGATCCAACATGCTCCAGATGGCTCCAAAGCCCACAAGAGTCAAGGTATCTTCTGATTTCGAAGCATTTTTCTCGGAAAGCTGCAGCGACTCCGAGGGATAAATGGCAAGCGCTGCAACAAATCCTTGCCAGCCTTGCCCCATACTGAGTTTACAGGGGGATACCGGAGGATATACTCAACTCAGCATGTACCACAGTAGCGCAACCTTTTGCATTTTTTTAGGTGCAGCCAAACAACAAGAAACTCGGCGGTGCAGAATCTCTCCTAGCCAGTTCTTCTTCTGTCCTCAGCCACGTCTCACCATGCAAAGAGGCACCTTTCAAGGCTTAAAGAAAATGTTCTTTTTCTAGGCATGTTCCGCATCCTGCTGTCACTGCCCCTTCCCATAAGAACCTTGGCTACAAATATTCATGTAAAAATGATCGGACCGAACCTTCAAAACCTCAAGGGTTCAGTCATACACAACATGATGCAGGCTCCCGCCATGCCAGCACACCTGAGGACCCCTGCAAAGTTGTTGCCGGAGTTGGATTGGGGCTCTTCTTGCCATTCTGCACTTTCTGCACATTCTGCGATTGTGGCTGGGATCTGCTCGGCTTCTTGGACACTCCCAGAGTGGATGACAGTGATCCGGACATCTCGGCCGTTGCAGCTGGGGCGGTGCCCTGAGTCTTTGGAGCCACATAGAGGAGGCTTCGCGCGCGGGCAGCTTTGGACATCACCTCCGGGGTAGGAATCTGCCTTAGCAAACACCAAAGATGTGGCGCATGTGTACAAGGTTTGTCTCCATGGTGCCCTGGCAGTTCCCAATGTCATAGCCTCCTTCAGACGATCACTGAGGCTGTGGCCCTGCTCCACCCGGCTCAGACCTGCAGAGCGCCACAGCTGAAATGAACCGACCTCAACCTACATCATGTGGACGTTCTGAGGCTTCAACCTGCTGACGTTTGGAGACGTCTTGGCTGCACTGGACCTGCTGGCATGGCCATTCACACCACAATGATGGTAAGGATGTTCCTGCTTCATGCTGTTTCATGCTGTGTCTATGTGTGACTAAAAGCTTTGGAGGCTTGAAGTCAAAACAGCAGCTGTAGAAATATTACACGACAATTTAGCCGGCAAAGTTATCGCACAAGCAATGTCTAGAAATGTAACATTCTGCATTGGTATTTATTGCCACTGCATTTCCAAAAATGTATTGATGTGATATTTTGGATACTGTTGAAGTTGAAACGAGTGCTTCGGGACCGTTTTCTAATTGACGCTGCCCCGTGCCCGAGCGTTATGAGAAAAAATCCCCTGAACCAAAAAATAATATCAATGCCTCAACCACTTCTCTTGTCATGCCCGTGGCCATTCAATGCTGCCGTCCGAGGACCTCTGAGATGCCTTTGCTCCAGAAGTCTCCAAAGACCTTGAATGAGCAAGATTGTTTCTACGTACCCTGTGCAGTGTCCGGCAGTTGATCTTGCTCACACTGGTTTTTGCCATGAGCTTCTCAGCTTTGCATCAATGCCTTTGGAATTTCAGAGGTGGTTTGCGGGCGCGGATTTGACAGTGTTGATTGCCATTGTCCAGATAGGGACTGACAGTCGCCAGGATTCGGCAGAGCTGCCCGGAAGCAAAAGACTGCTGTACAACACTACAGAGCGAAGTGCTTGTGGACACCAATCCCGTTCAGCTAGTCCATTCAAACCTGTTCTTGCCTATTCCAATCACACATAAAAATCATTAAAAACAATTAATGAGCGTTATCACCCACTGCGCTCAGGGCCATGCTTTGCATCTCATTCATCTCACCCGCCGGAAGCAACAAAAGGCTGTCCATAGATTTGGCCATTAAAAGTCAATTCAAAATCTATCCAGCCACTTCATCAAATTCACCAAGCTCGTAAGCATTTTCAAAAAAATCCTCTTCAAGTTGCACCGCTTGCAAGAAGCGAGCTTGGCAGCTTTGCTTACCCCCCTCGTCCAGCAGCTCTCCTTCCTTGTCTAAGAGCCTACGGAGGTATGCCACAACATCCACCAAACAAGTGTGCAAGTCAATCCACTCGAAGAAAACAAAGTTCTCCCGCACAGCTTGCTGGTCAACAGCCTGGGCCCACGACAAATAGGTCCACTCACACACAAGCAGCACGGACAACATCTCACCAAGACTGCCCATCTGTGCGACCTCCTTCATCAGCTCAATGAAGCCACTGGTACAACTGGCATCCGGGATCTGTTCCCTGTCTCTGAGGGAACACCGAGGTAGGACCTCGAAACAACGCTCAAAATAGGTATTCTCCTTTCCAGTGACCAGCGCCAAGAACTGGCATCCGAAGATGCGATCCTCCAAACATCTGGCATGGGCCACCATGCTGGCCAAGAGTACCACGAAGGCATCCAAAAAGCGGTGATCTTGGATCAAATATCCTTGCAACTGAAAAATGTTGAAAACAGGTCAGGCTCAATGACTTTTCGAGTGCAATATCAAAATGAAACACATTGTTTGTCATAAATTTGCAATGGCATTGAGTGCCGGAACCTTGGCTCATCTGAGCAATCGTGCACAAGCTGGTGAAGCCAAGTGTCGTCGCATGACTTGCAAGTCCTGATCGTCGGGCTCTGATAATTAACAGCTGCAATCACACAACACTGCGTTACGATTGACTCGTTTGAATAGATCTGGATTATCCACCATCCATCTGGGTATTCAGCACAACTGCAATCTGCGACCTTTCTTCCCAGAACACGTGCTTGTCTGAATGGATTCCATCATCTAAATCTCAACCACCAATGTGAGACTGTTGCAACAAGGGAGTCAAACAGGAATTGATGCTGTGATATGAAGCTTCTCAAACCAGGAATTTAAGTCAAGCCGCTGGCTTTCTATGAGATTGAGTCTCACATCTGTCAAGGTTTAGATGCTCTTTTCGAGTGGCATCGATAAGATTTGACTTCCAGCTGGAGTGTCAAACCATGTCAATAGGGAAACTCAATTAGTTTAACTATCTATAGCACAAATTGATCATTGCATCTACACAATCACTAGTTTGCTTCACTCAATTTTTAAATCTTCCCTGCAGGCATCGAGCCATGAGACCCCCAGGCCAAGCGTGCATGAGGGTTGAATTAACTGGAGGCTGAACCCGCCCATACCAAGCTGCTTGAGATCAGGATAGAACTTTGAACTGCTTTTGGCCACGAATCTGGAGGATTATGCGGATTGCCGCATAGCTATCATAGCTTGTTCTACCTACGGTGCCAAGGATCCAGCTTCCCATCAGCCAACTCCTTGGTGAAGCGATGGTGAACCACTCGATGCCACTGCTGCCCAGCAGCAGCTCGAAGGCGTTCAGAAAAACTGGTCTCCATGGCAGAGAGGGTGCACTTGGCCATGCAAAACAACTGGACAACTGTGACTCTGGTGGTTATGTTTGGACACTTTTGTTATTATATGGTTCTTTTTTCAGTGGGTCATATCTTCGTGAAAGTTCAAGAAAAAAAGAAAAAAAGAAAAACCCTAAGATCTGCCAGAGCAAGGGCTATATTGTTTTATGGCAAAGGGGATTTTCGTATTTTGGCTCCCTTCCTGTTTGTCAATGTTTTTCGTGTTTTTGGGTGGATTCTGTGTCCTATCATAGTCTATTTCACCATCCAAAAAATCTCATTGATGGCTACGACCGACCCACCCTTTGGTCTCACCTGGAAGGATGAACTCCGCTTGAAAATCTGCAGGTCGGCCGGCGGTACTGAAACTGCAAACGGCCCCCATAGCCCATGGTTTTTGCCACGACATGCACAGGAAAACAAACCATTGGATCACAACATAAAGTACCAAACTGGTGCAAAATCAGACCCTGTGAGTATGGCAACCCATACTCACCACTCAGGTGTGTGGAAGAGCGAGGCTTTCTTGCTTGGGCACTTGCCATCTGGGTCAGATACTTCTGTCCCTTTACTCCCTTGGCATCCCACTTTCTTTGAGCCAACTCCGATTCTTTTTGGCTGTGTCTTTGCCTTGGATGCTGCTTCAGAAATGATGCGCCACTAGCAAACCTGCATCACTTCAGTTTTGTGTTTCCCTTAAATTGTCTTAGTAAATCTTAATCAAAGTCGTATGTCAAAGATGGCCCCACAAACTTGGTCCGGTAGTGTAGGAAATCCTTTGAAGGAATCCGTACAGCTCAGCACTGTAGGATCTTCTGACTGGGCTCACCAACTGAGCTTGACCAGAATCCCTGGAGCCTCTGGATCCGCGACTCTGCCCACCAGCTGACCTTGTCTCGGAAGAGTTCGACCATGGCAATAGCAGGGCAAAATATCACAGGGAATCATGCCAGGCAGATTATTATCAGAAGCATCTTCCTGAGTGACCAAGGCCTGCTGCGTGAGATCTTCAGACTTTCCTCAGGTTTCTCAGTTTCCAACACTGGGCCCCGCCGAGGACCATTGTGTTCACCGTCAGCTTCACTGCTGCGACGCCTCTTCAAAGCAAAGCTGCATGCCTCTGACCAACCTTTGGGCCACACATCAGGCCCAAGCCCTCTGAGTTCCCTGGCGTGACATCTTAGCCTTTAGATCCTGAAGCCTTAAAAATCCTTAAAACCACTTTTGATGAAGCTCCAAGATTGTGGTGCACATGATCACTCTGAGGCCAAACCTCTGAGTGGGCTGCATGCTCCGTCCCTGACTCTCATGGACTGGCTTGGGCCTGGTGGATTCATGGCAAATCCAGACTAGGCGCACCAAAAAGGACTGCAACAAAAACAACTTGTTTGGGCCTGTGCTATTTCAAATTCCAAGAAGTTGGGTTCAGACTCAGGCTGGCATCAACATCCTCTGGCTAGTAATGATTGCTCTCGAATGTGAAGTTGCTCTGGTTGAAGTTTGTCTGAACATCAAGCTGATCTGGGCGAGCCCACTCAGCACTGTGCTTGGAGTCTGGGTACAGCAAATCATCTTCACTTGCCACTTCCCTGCATCAAATCACCAGTAAGAGTTCCAGGTGCTGCAAAAGCTGATTTTACCCACACTTTTTGAGTATATAAGAGGAAAAAAAAGGCACTCTTGCAGGCGAGGACAAACAAATTGTAGTAATCGCAATTTCTACCATGTGGCAAAATGTTATCCAAATTTGCGAAAAGGGGCCCTAGTGGTAGCAAAGCAACACTCCTCAAGCAGTGCTGAAGGCCGCACCCTGACTCACGGCCGAGATCATCAAGATAATCTTCATGGCCTTCCTCGCTCTCTGGCCTTAAAAAAACACTTAAAAAATAACCTGGCCCCAATGATCGCAGGCGAAAAATACATTGACTCAGCCGATTTCACCGTGTTGAATGGATACAATACATATTGTACACCCACATTCTGGTTTGACCTCCCAAATTTGGATATATTTGGATAATAGACAATGATAGCATGAAGAAAATGCTAAGGCACAAACTGCAAGTCTTGATGCCGCTCTGCTGCCACTTGCTTGCTAGCCGTTGCTCCAGGTCGATTTTGAGACCTGGTGGAGAGCAGCGCCCTGTGTTGAGTTTCGTTGTGAAAGTAATGGTAGAACCTTGCAGAACAACAACATGGGAGGTTCCAGTGTCTCCAGCGTAATGTCGCGAGATACTTCGGGATATCTCAAGATACGGCATGGCCCATGGATTCTGAGCAAAGAGCTGAGGCCTTTGTCTGAGAACTGTATGTCATTATATAAATATGCGTAACATATTTTTTTCGTAGCCTTGCTCTTGGCCTTGAATGTCAGTGATTGATTCGTAAATTGTCCCCACCATTCCCATCAGAAATCTTGGCCACTAAATGGACTCATGCAAAGCTGCGAATCACCTCTCTGAAAGGCAAAGAGGAAAAACAAACTCAGATGCCAACTGTTGCTTGGCAGCTACTTGCTTGCTGTCTGCTGTTGCGCCAGCTCGATTTGGAGACCTACAAGGCACAGTCGCACAATGCTTTCAGGAAGTGTGATTGGAGCAGAGCTGCAATCATCAAAAGTCAACAAAAAACGCCAAGAATATCCACAAACGTCGAAGAATCTTGGAAGGAAAAAGTGAGCAGTACACACTGGGTGGCTTTGCAATGGTGTGAGCCGTGTGAGTCTTTGATAACACGTGATAACTCGGTAACCTTTGCATCAGAAAAAGGCCCCGATCGAAATCACACTTAGCTCAGCACTGAATCCTGCTGGACTCTTGTTGTTCAATCTCCTCTACACGAGCCCTCACAGAGCCTGGTGACCTGATCGATGGACGGAAATATGTGTATATATATATACATATATATATATATATGTTTAAAAGAGCCAACTATACATTGGCAATTATATACATATACGACATATGCATATAATATGTATGTATATATATATACATCTAAGTACGTAGTGTTTTAAACAACGCATTTATTCATATCAGTATTTATGATGCATTGATTTGTTGTTTTAATCTATGTGTGTTATATATATATATCTATCTATCTATCTGTCTATCTGTCTATCTGTCTATCTGTCTATCTGTCTATCTGTCTATCTGTCTATCTGTCTATCTGTCTATCTGTCTATCTGTCTATCTGTCTATCTGTCTATCTATCTATCTATCTATCTATCTATTTGTGTGTGGTTGTATCTATATATATAGATATAGATAATTATAAAATTATATATATAATATATCATATGATTTTTACATGTCATGGTATATCCATGCAACATGTTCATGGAACCTAGTCAACCGGCTTAGATCAATCATCAATTTCAAACCACTTACCACTTGGATGGGATGATGACGGATGCATCTAGTCCCTGAAGATTTCCTTCGATGCGGGTTGGAAAAAAGAACGAACCGAGATTCGGGCTGCAGGCTTTGCTGATGCTTGGCAGCTACTTGCTTGCTGTCTGCCATTGTGCCAGCTCGATTTGGAGACCTACACAGCACAGTCACACATTGCTTTGAAGATGCTTTGAAGTGTTGTTGGAGCAGGGCTGCTCTCGTAGAAGATCAACAAAACAAAAACTAGACGACGGTTGGCCCGAGAGCGAAAAAGATGTGTTTCAAGCAGCTCTGAGTATGGTAGTCGTAAAAGATAGTCGGTAAATAGTTGGTGAATTTTATTGGTGAATTTTAAATGAGCTATGGAAAGACATGATGTAAAAAAGTAAAATTGATCAAGAAGAGAATATTGGGTAAAGGGCATCAGATGACATGTGTCGTGGAACCACAGAGAGAAAGAGGGGGAAGAGATAAAGAGAGAGAGAGAGAGGTCAGACGCATTTCCACACAAAGACCTTTGAGATACAAAAGAAGCTCGGCACCGTGATGCCGTGGATGACCTTAGTTGCAAACAAAGGTGGGCAAACATAGTCGCAATGGAAATGCTACAAAATGCAAAAGTACACAAACAAAGGCTCCGTAAGAAACTAGAACTCCGTGCAAGAATGCTGTGAATGATAGCAAGTTCGATATCATGATGGCAAGGATAACACCTGTTTCACTGCATTTCTCCGATGTCCCTACAGGATGGAAAAAAAAAACTTTACAGACAAACAACAGTTGGCTACTGGTTTTGCATGTTCGTCACGAACAGTCTCTCCAGACGAACATACTGGTTTTGCATGTTCGTCACGAACAGTCTCTCCAGACGAACAGTGCTACAGATTAATTTCCGCCAGTTGCACTCAGTGCCACTCGGTACGCAAGCCTTCCAGCTCCCACAAGCTGCTTCCAAGCAAAGGTCGGTACCATGATGCTGCAGATGTAGCATCTGGTCCATGCGTTTACATCTGAGGCAAAAAAAATGTATAACACACAATCCAATGCGAAGCATCTGCTCTTTCAATTCGAAACTGAAAACACGACTCCGGAGTTTGACATAGCAAATAAGCCCGGTACCATGATGCCGTGTATGACCTCACTTCCAAACAAAGGTGCGCAAACACAGCTTTGGATTGGAAATGTTTAAAAATTGGTATCCAAAAAACAACAAGTGAACGCAGTGAATGATTCCGGGCCCAAAACAAGTTCGATATCATGATGGCCTGGACGACACCCTGTTTCACTGCATTTCTCCGATGTCCCTACAGGATCGAACAATATTTACAGAGAAGCAACACTTGGCTACTCATGTAACACGTTCGCCACGAACAGTTTCCTCAGGCGAACGGTGGTGCAAATTCGTTTGTGTACGCAGTGAATGATTCCACAAAAACAAGTTCGATAGCATGATGGCATAGATAACACCTGTTGCACTCCATTTTGCGAAGCTCCATGACAGAAATGTTTGCCAGGGCATCCTGGAGCCATGCACGACCCCTGGTCACAGCACTGCTACGCAGCTCCTGCAACCGAATTTCCACGCCATCGGACGACGAGGATGACGCGGTCGCATGCTCCATTCGCACAGACATTCCCTTCAGCAAATGAAACAGCGACCACAAAATTGTACGGTACAATGATTCCCGTAGTATTTTTTGTCCACTGCTCATGCATTTCAATGAAAACATTACATATATTTTTTTCGTGCTATACTTACATAGATCCACTGCATCGTAAACAAACACTGACATTGTCACAATGCAATTCTCGAGATCTCACGGACAGCCCCCACAGAAACCTCGAGAAGTCCAAGAAATGTTCAAGATACCTGTTTGCCAATCGTCACTTGTTTCACGAACATTCAGCGTACATATAAGAATATGGATGTTCACTCTGTACACAATGCATCTTCTCTCTACGTTCACATCTGAGCCAAGGAAAGAGGTAAAGAGGTAAACTATGCTTGTCGCTGCAGAGTTGCACAATCCACTGCTCAGGATTTGTTCGCTGCGTTCCAAACTGAGAATGCCACTCATGAGTTTGACATGGCAAAGAACCACTGTCGCAGAGTCCTGCAAACTGAAGGCTGAACGTGTCAACAGTCAAGCTTACAATGAACACATCAAATCATCAAATCACATGTTATTCATTTGCATATAAGGTCCCGACTTAAAAATGGCGGCAGGTCAGGATCGGCCCGCATAGTATTTTTTGTCCACTGCTCATGCATTTCAATGAAAACATTACATATATTTTTTTCGTGCTATACTTACATAGATCCACTGCATCGTGAACAAACACTGACATTGTCACAATGCAATTCTCGAGATCTCACGGACAGCCCCCACAGAAACCTCGAGAAGTCCAAGAAATGTTCAAGATACCTGTTTGCCAATCATCACTTGTTTCACGAACATTCAGCGTACATATAAGAATATGGATGTTCACTCTGTACACAATGCATCTTGTCTCTACGTTCACATCTGAGCCAAGGAAAGAGGTAAAGAGGTAAACTATGCTTGTCGCTGCAGAGTTGCACAATCCACTGCAAAGGATTTGTTCGCTGCGTTCCAAACTGAGAATGCCACTCATGAGTTTGACACACGCACACACGCTTTCACACACAAACGCTTTTACACACAGACGCTTTTACACACAGACGCTTTTACACGCAGATGCTTTTTACACACGCACACACACTTTCACACACAAACGCTTTTACACACAGACGCTTTTACACACAGACGCTTTTACACACAGGCACTTTTACACAAACGAAAGCGTCCATGGCAATTTTACCTCAGTTTTTAACGTCCAACGTCCATTTCGTGCATAAGGGCTGCGAATAACAAAGTAAAGTCGCAATTTTTCCTCAGTTTTTGACGTCCAACGTCCATTTCGTGCGTAAGGGTTGTGATTGACAAAGTAAAGTCGCAATTTTTCCTCAGTTTTTGACGTCCAACGTCCATTTCGTGCGTAAGGGTTGCGATTGACAACTCAAAGTTGCAATTTTTCCTCAGTTTTTGATGTCCAACGTCCATTTCGTGCGAAAGGGTTGCGCGCGACACCTCAAAGTTGCAATTTTTCCTCAGTTTTTGAAGTCCAACGTCCATTTCGTGCGAAAGGGTTGCGCGCGACACCTCAAAGTTGCAATTTTTCCTCAGTTTTTGACGTCCAACGTCCATTTCGTGCGAAAGGGTTGCGCGCGACACCTCAAAGTTGCAATTTTTCTTCAGTTTTTGACGTCCAACGTCCATTTCGTGCGAAAGGGTTGCGCGCGACACCTCAAAGTTGCAATTTTTCCTCAGTTTTTGACGTCCAACGTCCATTTCGTGCAAAAGGGTTGCGCGCGACCAATAAAAGTTGCAATTTTACCTCAGTTTTTGACGTCCAACGTCCATTTCGTGCGAAAGGGTTGCGCGCGACCAATAAAAGTTGCAATTTTTCCTCAGTTTTTGGCGTCCAACGTCCATTTCGTGCGAAAGTGTTGCCGGCGACGCTTCAAAATCGCAATTTTACCTAGGTTTTGGACGTCCAACGTCCATTTCGTGCGAAAGGGTTGCGTTTCGTGGCGCTCCGGCGGCACCGCCCCCCGCCTTAAGAGAGAAATAGAAGAAGAGCGAGAAGAGATCTGCAGATGTGAAGGTGTGAAGATCTAGATCTGCAGATGTGAGGGTGTGAAGATCTAGATCTGCAGGTGTGAGGGTGAAGATCTAGATCTGCAGGTGTGATATGAAGATCTGCAGATGTGAGGGTGTGAAGATGTAGATCTGCAGATGTGAGGATGTGATGATGTAGATCTGCAGATGTGAGGGTGTGAAGATCTAGATCTGCAGGTGTGAGGGTGTGACGATCTAGATCTGCAGGTGTGAGGGTGTGAAGATCTAGATCTGCAGATGTGAAGGTGTGAAGGTCTAGATCTGCAGATGTGAGGGTGTGAAGATCTAGATCTGCAGGTGTGAGGGTGAAGATCTAGATCTGCAGGTGTGAAGGTATGAAGATCTAGATGTCCAGATGTGAGGGTGTGAAGATCTAGATCTGCAGGTGTGAAGGTGTGAAGATGTAGATCTGCAGGTGTGAAGGTGTGAAGATCTAGATCTGCAGGTGTGAAGTTGTGAAGATCTAGATCTGCAGGTGTGAAGGTGTGAAGATCTAGATCTGCAGGTGTGAAGGTGTGAAGATGTAGTATAACGGCTGCTTTTTTACGAAGAACCCTTCGCAGGCGCTCTCGGGAACAATCAAAAACAATCAAAAACAGTGTGCAGCACACTGGGTGTTTTTGGAATGGTGTCAAACTTTCCATCAAGCTCACAAGGTCAATTTCCGCATTGAGGGATTCAAAGCACACTCAGCTTTGCACCGAATCCTTCTGGACTCTTGCCGCTCAATCTCCTCTACACGGGCCCGTTCTGCTGCCCGTGACCTAATCAGTGAAGGGTCCCAAAACACCATTTAAAAGAAACAGAAAATCTTTGGCTTCAAAGGCCTTCACGCATTTCTATATACTTGCTTCTTAGCCCCAGCAGCTTGGCTTCAACATGAATAAAAGCAAAACTGAGATTGAGGCTGCAAGCTTTGCTGATGCTTGGCAGCTACTTGCTTGCTGTCTGCCATTGCGCCAGCTCGATTTGGAGACCTACACAGCACAGTCGCACATTGCTTTGAAGATGCTTTGAAGTGCTGCTGGAGCAGGGCTGCTCTCGTAGAAGATCAACAAAACAAAAACAATAAAAAAACAATCAAAAACAGTGTGCAGCACACTGGGTGTTTTTGGAATGGTGTCAAACTTTCCATCAAGCTCACAAGGTCAATTTCCGCACTGAGGGATTCAAAGCACACTCAGCTTTGCACTGAGTCCTTCTGGACTCTTGCCGCTCAATCTCCTCTACACGAGCCCGTTCTGCTGCCCGTGACCTGACCAGTGAAGGGTCTAAAAACACCATTTAAAAGAAACAGAAAATCTTTGGCTTCAAAGGCCTTCACGCATTTCTATATACTTGCTTCTTAGCCCCAGCAGCTTGGCTTCAACATGAATAAAAGCAAAACTGGGATTGAGGCTGCAAGCTTTGCTGATGCTTGGCAGCTACTTGCTTGCTGTCTGCCATTGCGCCAGCTCGATTTGGAGACCTACACAGCACAGTCGCACATTGCTTTGAAGATGCTTTGAAGTGCTGCTGGAGCAGGGCTGCTCTCGTAGAAGATCAACAAAACAAAAACAATCAAAAACAGTGTGCAGCACACTGGGTGTTTTTGGAATGGTGTCAAACTTTCCATCAAGCTCACAAGGTCAATTTCCGCATTGAGGGATTCAAAGCACACTCAGCTTTGCACTGAATCCTTCTGGACTCTTGCCGCTCAATCTCCTCTACACGAGCCCGTTCTGCTGCCCGTGACCTGACCAGTGAAGGGTCCAAAAACACCATTTAAAAGAAACAGAAAATCTTTGGCTTCAAAGGCCTTCACGCATTTCTATATACTTGCTTCTTAGCCCCAGCAGCTTGGCTTCAACATGAATAAAAGCAAAACTGAGATTGAGGCTGCAAGCTTTGCTGATGCTTGGCAGCTACTTGCTTGCTGTCTGCCATTGCGCCAGCTCGATTTGGAGACCTACACAGCACAGTCGCACATTGCTTTGAAGATGCTTTGAAGTGTTGCTGGAGCAGGGCTGCTCTCGTAGAAGATCAACAAAACAAAAACAATCAAAAACAATCAAAAACAGTGTGCAGCACACTGGGTGTTTTTGGAATGGTGTCAAACTTTCCATCAAGCTCACAAGGTCAATTTCCGCACTGAGGGATTCAAAGCACACTCAGCTTTGCACTGAATCCTTCTGGACTCTTGCCGCTCAATCTCCTCTACACGAGCCCGTTCTGCTGCCCGTGACCTAATCAGTGAAGGGTCTAAAAACACCATTTAAAAGAAACAGAAAATCTTTGGCTTCAAAGGCCTTCACGCATTTCTATATACTTGCTTCTTAGCCCAGCAGCTTGGCTTCAACATAGCCCAGCAGCTTGGCTTCAACATGAATAAAAGCAAAACGAACTGAGATTGAGGCTGCAAGCCTTGCTTGTAGTCTACCATTGCGCCAGCTCGATTTGGAGACCTTCATTTCTAGTAGTTTCCGCGTCAGTCAGTATCCAGCAAGATGTGAATGCAACTTAAGTTCTGGGCTGGGCGTCTCCTTGGAGCCTCAACAAAAATCGAAATACATCCAATTCTCCTCCAACTGTGCTGACTGCAAAGCGGCTGCAATCTGGGGGTCAGGCCTTAGTTTGGGCACAGGAAGGACCCGCTCCGCAGGGCCGGAGCCAGCCTTTGGCGACCTGGGCAAGGTCCCGCAGCCGTCGGCTCCAATTGCGCTGTGTGAGGCACTGCCGCACTGCATACACAGAGGATAGTATGCATGTTTCCCGCTACATACAGTTTCAATAGGTTTCAATAATGGTTCTTTTTGTGCACTGTCATTCTTCCACCTTCCACAGCGACCCCTGAGCACCGAGCTCTCGCATTTGTGTTGCCAGGGCCCTGGGCAAAGAGTTTTTGACTGTAACAAATAATGTGCGACAAACAACCCGGGTCTGGTCAGCGCGCATATTTTCAGCATTGTGAAAAGAACCGATGGTTGAAAAAACACGTTCCTTGATGCTGCCGCGGTCTGTAGCGTCAGCGTCTGCTGATAGGCGCTTTGAGCGTATTCAACAAGCCGCTACAGTATACAGATTGGCGACCGGCTGATTTTGAAAATCAGTTTGAAAGGAAACGTGTCACACTTTCTGCCCGCTGGAAAATGTGTCTTCTCAGCTTTTTGTTAGACAGCTATGGATCACACTACTAATCCCTCACTAGCGGATATGGCATCATCACTGCAAACGGCAAGCTGTGGCTATATACATCACGATGCAACACTTGAAGGCTCACAAACAGTGACATGAACGCCGCATTCCATCTTCACAGCCCACTTTCCATCAACCTTGACCAGGGCAAAATGGCCAGATTTTGCCGAGCTCCCCAAGTCACGGAGCAGCATTTACAAACTTGGACGACATCAAAATGATTCAAGATGTGGCACCTGAGGTAGGGTTCTGCGAGAACCAGATAGGATAGATAGGCAGAACGGAAAGAAACATGTTTTCTTCGCATCCATCCGCCGCGCCTCAGAGACGACCTCACCCAAGGCTCCAGCTGCCTCCTTCCCACCAGAGACCATCAACTGGAAACTGCTGCGTTCAGAGGCAGAAGCTGCACCGCGGATGACAGAGAAGCCAGAGCCCATGATGAGAAGATCAGCCTTCTGCAGCCTGCCAACTTTCTGTCCAAACTGATTGGAATGAAGGGTGAAGGAAAATCCTGCATACCCAACTTCACCACATGTATAAAAAAAACCATCGAAATTGCCCTGTGCCACCCGAGTGCGCACACTAAGACAGATCAAGAAACCCTTCATCGTCCTTGCGAACCTTCTCGACAACCAGGGTATCACCTTGATTCCAAGGTTTGATGCTGGTATGTATTTTTATTGCCCCAATCCAAATTGTCATCCACACACCCCAAGATACACCCCTTAGTTTGGGGGAACCAGTTGAATTCAGTTAGTTCCCCTGCCAAAACCTCCTGCCCAAAAAAAAAGGCCAAGACAACAGGCAAATCACCAAACACTTCCTGTAGAAATTTGAGATAGGCATCAGCATCAATAACCGTGACACAGGATCGAACTGGAGGAGGTTGGGGTGACATCTCCATATCCTCTTCTTTCTTCGTCGATAGGGCCCAGAGTATGCCACAAGCATCCTGCAGGATGCCAAACTCAGCGCCCCAAAACTGCTTCTCCACTGGAACAATTTCCTGAGACGGCTAATGGACCGATCTGGTAATCTTAATACAAATGATAGTGCCACGGCTTGGGACCTAGATCCACATAACCGTTTGGTTTTCAGGACTTACAAGCATACATCCCGAGTTTACATGAGTTTGTTGCATCCTTTGCCAAAGCATGCTCGGAAACCTAGGAAACCCAGCGTCTTTGCATTTTCCAGGAAGCGCGGTGCTTCTCAGCATCTTCGAAGCCAGAGCTGGTGCATTGAGGACGTTGCCATGCCTGGACTGGGAGCCTCATAATGAAAGTGAGAACAAAGGAACACCGTTTTTAATATAGTTACCAATGCATGTGATGAATCAACTGGATCATTGACAAGAACATACGGAATACCATTTGCAATGATGCACATGCCGAAATATCTGTCACACTGTAAGATTGAAAGATTACATGGTCAATCATTGTTTCCCTGATTCAAGTTGGACGAGCTGCAAAATGACATGGCTCTGGTTGTTGCATCGATATTCAAGGAACGGCACGTTCAGGGTGTCCTTGAAGGGGTTCAAAGAGATATCCTCAAAAAATACATGGCCACCACCTCCAAACGCAGTCACAACTGCACCGTGCATCAATCGCTTAGTCGCTTCGTCCTCAAGAGTGAAGAAAATCCGTGAGCGAGTCGCCCGGCAGAAAGCCTCTTGGACCTTGTTGCCAGGGCAGCCACATGGAAAAGCTATGCTAAGCTGAAGTACCCGAAACCACTTCAAATAGGTCTTGAAACCTCAACTTGATTTTCACAACCTCCAGCGTCAAAATTAAAGGACCGGATAACCTCACAAGCCAACTTCTTCCAATAAGCAGAAACAAAAGTTGCATCGGGACGGGGAAGGAAGGAAAGACAAAGGAGGTGGTGGAGGATCGAGAAGTTTAAAAAGTTGTGTGTGAAGAGTTGTGTGTGTGAAAAAGCTGTGTGTGTGTGAAAGATGCGTGCGACACAATTATGCGTGTGAAAGATTGTGTACAGCGACGCACAACTAAACGATGCAAGTGCTTCCATAGGTCAACGGCGTGACAGACGACCATAGGTCGCTGTGCATGGTCCAGGGGCGCCAAACATGAATAGCGACTAAAAAAAAACGATGCAAGTGCTTCTTTCCACGTTGGGTCAAAGCTATGCGGCTACTGCAGCAAGATCGGAGGGCATCATATTACACATCAAGCTAACAACCAGCTGCACACAGCCGAGGAATAGATGCACTGCCCATCAGTGAAAACCCCGCTTGTCTTCCGCCCATGAAGAAGATGGAAGGGGAACCTGGGCGTGATGCAAAGGCAGATCAAGTTCAGAAAGCACAATGCAAAGACACCACGTCACACTGTGTCATGCGTGTTCTAATCGAAACAATACAGGTGGTTCAGTCTTCCGACCGTTGTATACCAGACGCAATGGGCGCACATTAAGCAATGTGTTCGGAATGCTTTTGGTGTATCAAAGCCCCTTTTTTGGGACACCGGACAACTCATGGGCCCCTGGAAAACACACACACGGGAAGAATGGGACTCAAAGACAGGTGTGAAGGAAAACTATTCGGACAGTCTGAAACGACGAGTTCATTGGCGCTCACATACGGCACAAATATGCACCGGTCTTTTTTGGCAGCGCCAACCTCACCTGCGCGATCTCCTCTCACGTTGGGTCAAAAAAAGAAATTTGTCGATTCACGGTAAGTCTGGATGACCGATGCCTAGCTTTGCTGCAATGCTGGCAACGTCGATGAACGATTTTTTCAGTTTCGCCCAAATGAATAGACAACCATCCTGGCCACTGGACAAAGACACCGTGCGCGTCTGCTTCGCCACTCCCATATCCTTGCAAATCCTTAACGAGCAGAAAGGGTGCTTTGTAGCAGGCTCTTGTGAAAGGGATCTGTGCTCTCTGCTCTTCCAGAATGGTAGCAGCGGCCCAGAACCAGCGTCTCTTGACAACATCATAGCAAAGCCCCAGGAGAAAAGTTCCTGATGCCGAGACAGCTTGCTCTGGTGTGAGCGATGCCATTAGTGCTGAGCCAAGGGCAAGTTTGAGTGCAGCGTCTGTACGCGACGGTGCGTGGTCATGAACGAAATGGCACTTTCCATTGCAACTAAAGTAGGTTTGCAGGAAAAACATGTCATTTTCTGAATTGCAATGCAATGATATGATATACTGAATGTTTTGTAGCCAATGTTTCTAGCACCGTGTCCATGGAACATCGCCACAGAATGAAATACATCTACTCTCACGCATCAACTGATGCCGAAAAAAGCTTGTGGCAGAGGCCGATCATTTTGGCGAAAAGAATCCAATGCATTCCGAAGGGTGAGAACAGCGGGCAATGATTCCATGACTGTTGTGGAATTGAATCAGCAAGACAACATTTCCAAGCTCCAAGGGCTCCAGCGTAGTTCCTGCAGAAAGGCATGGAGGTCCAGCACAGGCTTCAAATAGTCTTGCATGACACGGCTTCGGGTAAACCTATTCTCGCATTTCCCATTGAGACTACGCATTACCCTGTGGAATTTCTGCTCCAGCGGCCTCTTTCCACGTTGAGCCAATGCGACCAGAGCAGCACTCGATGATGAAGTGACGATGTAGTAATCGTGTTCTGTCTTAGATGTACGCAAAGTTCCGCGGCGCCCCAGGCCACTCACGCGCACCACCAGAGCCAGCCCAGTGCAAGTGCCACGCCTGCCACACAAATGGAACGTCGATGCCAGCAAGTGCCGCGCAAAGCGCGGCGGCGCCCCGGGCGACTAACGGCGACCAAGCGCGCCACCAGAGCCATTCCAGTGCCACAAGTGCCACGCCTGCCACGCAAAACGAAGGTGGCTGTCGCCATGTCCCACACCTGCCACCCAAATGGAACGTCGATGTCACCAAGTGCCACCAACGACGACCAAGCGCGGAACCAGCCCAGTGCCATAAGTGCCACGCCTTCCAAAAAGAATGTCACAAAGCGCCACACCCGCCACGCAAAGCGAAGGTGGATGTCGCCATGTGCCATGCCTGCCGCGCAAAGTGCCGCGGCGTGCCCTAAGTGCCACGCCCGCCACGCAAAGAGAATGTAGATGTGAGCAAGTACCACCTGCCACGCAAACCGCCACGCCTGCCATGCAAAAAGAAGGTGTGTGACAAAGTTATGTGTGAGACATGGTGTGTGACAAAGTTGTGTGTGTGAAAGAAGGTGTGTGACAAAGCTGTGTGTGAAAGATGGTGTGTGACAAAGTTGTGTGTGAGAGATGGTGTGTGACAAAGTTGTGTGTGTGTGTGACAAAGTTGTGTGTGTGTGACAAAGTGGTGTGTGACAAAGTTGTGCTTGTGAAAGGTGGTGTGTGACAAAGTTGTGTGCGAAAGATAGTGTGTGACAAAAGTTGTGTGTGAACGATAGTGTGTGACAAAGCTGTGTGACAAAGCTGTGTGTGAAAGATGGTGTGTGACAAACTTGTTTGTGGACACATCTCCCATTCTTCTGGAGGAAGTGCAGGGTTTTGACGCGCTTGGAATCAACATCAACCCACATCAACGGACGATCACATCGGTATTGCCTTGGGACACTGTGATACGTATCACTGCGGGTTTTGGACCCAGAAGCTCAATGCACTCGGGACTCATAGCTCGGACGCGATTAATTGTACAAAATACTTTCCTCGTGACCTTCAACTTCCATAAGTCCAGGATCTGATCGCAATTCATACCATCCAAGAACCAGCGTACCGTGCTTGCATTCCTCAGGTCATTTCGATTGCACGCAGCTTTGGACATAAATGGACCCGACAGCAGCTGACACCATTTGACTACAAAATGACCCTCTCCGCTCTGTTCTTCTTCTCATGTGCCTTGTATGTTAGCGGTGACCTGGTAAGGTAGACTAACTTTGGCTAAAGCTCTCAGTGTTTCTGTGCAATCGGTTGTAACAGTGTAAGTACCGACAATCACACAGAACATCCAAGAGGCATGGAAACTAGTCCTATGTATGCATGGCTTATACAGCTTTTGTTTTTGTACTGATCGGCCCATTACCTCTGGACCCTTAGTGTTGCTGAGCACTTTTGCGGTCCATTGCTCTATATGAAGTCACCCCAAACGCTGAGCATAGCCTTCAATTCTTGATCTACTTGATCTACTTGATCTTCTTGATCCTCTTGATCTACTTGATCTACTTGATCCGCTTGATCTACGCGTCAGTGCCCCAGAGATTTGCCTTCCTTTGTGAAGGCCTTTGTGTGTGTGTGTACCCTGCTATCTGCACGCAGGAAACTTACTACCGTTCGAATCAAAGATGGAGTTCCGGTGAACATGAGCGACAATTTTATCAATAACCTGCGTCAAGCTGTGCTATGTGTAAATTCATTGCAGCTCAATTCAGTGCACATAGCAGCGGGGGCGTGCAGCACCTTTGGCATACTGCGCGCAACGAAGCTATTGCCATTGTTGGAAAGGGGGGGGCTGATCACCTCCCTGTACCTGCAGAATTTCAGTTTGAACTGTTGAACAAGCTGTCCAGCTCCGTGGTTCTCCATAATTTCAATCTAGATTTGCCCGGTCGCCTCAATCTACAGTGTTTTCTTTGATCCGAAGTTCGCCACATGCAAGTTCTGTGACGTTGACGCTAGAATTTCAGAATAGGTAGCTGGTGCATGGGATCTTTAACACAACAATCATACTGAAACATGGGTTTCACCTGTTTATCAAGGGTGATGGACCCAGGATTCCGGCCAGGCGTGTACAAGAACATCATCATTGACGTTTCCAAATCCACAAAAAATCAGCAGTGTGTGAGAGATGGGGTGTGACAAAGTTGTTTGTGACAAAGTTGTGTGTGAAAGATGGTTGGAGGCGGCAGAGTGGGAGGCGGCGGAGGAGGAGGCGCGGGATACAGAAACAAAACCAAGAACCCAACATAAAGTTGTGGGGAAAAAGCAATTTGAACCACAATGTAAACCATCCAACAGCTTTGCAAATAGCTTCGGTACGCTCGCGGCATTCTCCGTAACCACATTCGAAGCAATACCGTATCTGGGCTTGCCACCAGTGGCAGGCTCAGTCGACTCAACTTTGCGTTTCATTGCAGTGAGGCGAGTGGTCCGAGCGTAATGTCTTTTGTGTTTTGCTGTCAATTATGGACTTGAGCCTGCGCAAGAACAGCAAAATTGAAGAAGAAGAAATCCAAAAACCAGGTTCACTTCGTTTACAAGATTGTGCTCAAAGTTGGAAAACTATTACTTGGGCGAACAGCTCCAATTTGTAGAAAACGTTCACTCTCACAATAACCTTCAGTGCTTTCACATATTTCACATCAGGACCAAGGCCCTGGGGAATTCTTTTCTCAAGGTCCTGCGGCAGTTCCTCCATGTTCCTGGGTCACTGACGCCAAAGTGCCCGGCTTTGGGGACGAGGCCATGACCATGGCAGCTTCCCTGCAACAGTGCAACTGCTAAATCAAAATGAACTTTACATAGTTTATATATATATATGTGATTATGTGTATATATATATGTGTGTGTGTGTATTTATATATAAATATATATATGTGTGTATATATATATATATATCTGTGTGTGTAAATATATGTATATATATATATATGTATATATATATATATATGTATATATATATATGTATATATTATATATATAAGTCATTCTAAGTTGCATATAGTTATACAAACATCTTCAAATTCAGTACGCAGTTCACTTTCACGCTGATGTTTTTTTGCTTCCATCACGAACCGCACTGGCCCAAACCAGCAGGTGCCCATCTCTGCAAAATGGTGGCTCTTTTCGCATTGAGACCCTGCATGATATACCCATGTAGGGAGGGAAAAAATCTGAATTCAAAGCAGTATGTGAATAGCGGAGCTTGCCAGTGCTTGGAGCCCCCAACTCCAATCTCTGATCCTCGTGCTGGCTCCTCAAGACCAGAAAAGAAAGCCGCGGGAAAGTTACTTGTCGCATACTAGCTGCAAAATCTGCAAGGAAAACCTGAAGACCAAGTCCAACATAGCTGAACAATGCTGAACACCCGGCTCCTGGGAGAAACGCCTGGCAATGTCACTGTTTGAGCTTTCAAACTCCTTGGTGACCTTGGCCAAGATTAGATGTCAAAACTCAGCAGTGGCATGGTGATTCAGAACACTTGGAAGATAAATCGGATAAACAAAATGACACAAAGCAGTTCACAGTTCCGCCAACTGAGTACTGAACAATGGGATGCCAACCGTGTGGTAACCACGTTGCCTCACGAACCCCGCGTGTGTGAGGAGAAAGTGAGGCGAGGTACAGGATGCTGAGCGCAGAGCCATTCGTCCCGAATGAGCTCCCGTGGCGATGCTGCTTGTCGCGGTGACAGGGAGACGTCCCTGCCACCCCTCAGGGTTCTCTCGTTGAAAGAAGTGAATGGCCTTCATGATGTTTGAAGTTCATTAGACTCCGACTATCCTGCCAAATGCTAGGAAGGATAAAAAATGCCAAGTTGCTTGTAAGCGTCATTTAAACATTACTTGATGAAAATAGATCTCATAAATTCCTGGAACCATGCCCAGAATTCCTGGACATGAATAAGCTGCACCTAACACCCAACATCCCTATTCAAGGAATGTTCTGATCCGTGACCTCCACCTTGACATGTAGGAAAATCATTGTTGACATTAACCTGTCTGTTTTCCGGGTTTTCCTGGTTGATTCTCTTCGCCGGCCCGGTTTACCTGGGTGTTCTTGGCGTCCTCGGCGTCCTCGACTCTGAGGGTGATGACGACCTTCCACTGGTCCACATAATTTTCAATATGTGATGAAAAGGCATGGCAGGATTCAAACACATGGGCTCAATGAGGCTCGAACAAATGACATTACATAAATCACAACTCATTCATGATTTTCGGATGTAGGGCTTGGGGGCTTCATGTTAGCCAACCTATTCAAACACAATTTGAACTGATACACTCCCATTACCATCCATCACCCTCTTTGATCACAACAAATCCTGGAAGAAATTTAACAGCACCCTGCCTGGGTCTCCGAGATCTGGCACGGGCTTCCATCAGCCACCTGCGACTCCATTTGGGCTCCAGTGAACTGAAGCCCCGTCTCTACTTGGGAACTTACTTTCTGAGATTTGTTTCAAAATGTTTCAAGTTTGAAGCAATTTAAAATATTTAAAGCCGGTCACGAGGATCCTTAAACAACATTAAAGAACGACCATCTTCAAGCTGCAAGATCACGCTTAGCTTCCCTGGACCCGCATGTTACAATGGTGGAACACTCCTAAACCCGCCTGTCGCCCAGTGCCATGAAACAAACACTAAGTACATGAATATCATCACCACAAAATATCAGAATTCATTATAAAAATATTATGTTAAATCATGATTGGATGTGACAAATGCATCCTTGAGATCCATCGAGTTCATGATGTACCTTCAAACATCTTCAGGTACAAATAGCCGGAGCCAGCCTCTGCTGCTCTCTAAGGACCTCGTCCTGGGCCGGTCCTTCCAAATCCTTGGAATACACCAGGATGGCCGTGTAGGGACAGGCAACGGGTCATACAAAAAAGTGTTGTAATCAATGTGGATGAACATGATGAACTAGGCTACAGTATAGGTTGTGAAGGGTCAGGGACCAAGTACTGCAAAAACTGAGTCGCATGTTGTTGACTGCTTCATGAAAGCGTCCAGTCAAGCTTTTCTTTGTCTAAACCAGCCCTCGCAACAGAATCATCATCAAAAAAGCGCTTGTAAATCTGGGCTCAAGACCGGGTTCAGCAACGGATCTCTAGCGATCTGAGAGCAGGCAGCCAAAAAATACAACTTGCGCTGTAGGTTGGGCACAGGCCATCACATGACGCAAAAGAATGTCCTACATGGATCAGACCTGATACTTAAGTGTCCAATTCCACGTATGCAATTGCAAAACCTTGACTTCCAGCATTTACACAATTAGTCAAGAGCATGACAAATGGCAATGTTCTTCCACACTACTGCTCGCAAAATCGGCCGTGTCGGACTGCACAGGCACTGAAGATCTCCATCTACAAACACCGGAGGAGGTCAAAATTCATATGGGCGCTATTTTGAAGCCCCCGCCAAACTGTCGAATTCACACATGCCTCCTCTGGAAGGCCATAGGCTCGCCAAATCTCAGCTAAGGTGATAGAAGCAAGGAATCAAAAAGGACATGGATCTGAATTCCTATGTTGACTGCCATTGTTTAAGCACCCGTCAGGAAGCTGCACTGTTTTGTTGAAACATGTTGAAGCTGACCCATGATCAACATGATCAACGCCAAGAAATGTATGCTTACTACAGCCCTCACTGAGCTCGGCACATCTGCGAAGGCACCTAGGTAGCAAATAGCTGTACATCATTGAAACATTGCTGCTGCAGCTCAAGCACTTAAGACTTGGCCACAGGGGCCATAAATACAAATGCAAAGATTCGGGCAGCTTGGCTTAGTGCTCATCAAAACCAAGTGCATCTTGTGCATGAATGAACGCTCAGGGCGACCAACGGGACCAATATATATATATATATGTATGTATATATTATATATTGTATATATATAGTATATTTTATCCAATAGATCAAAGGCAATAAATTTCCAGCATGGCCCCTCAGTTCCTTACTAAAACCTTGGCCCCTTTTTCCTCGTGAGCTCTTGGCGGCTTCCAACGGATCCTAGTCGGGGCTCTCAACGCCGTTGCTTGCTGCTGGTCTGCCACTGGTCGCACAGGAATCTCCACTAAAAAACGTCCAGATATTTTGGCGGGGAAACGTCTCATCTTCATCTTCCTCGGCTGCTGGGATCTATTCAATATTCAACACGCAATCAAAAACAAATCAATTTCATAGTGGAAACCTGCGGAAACCAAATACATCGTGGATCCCCCCTTCAAAGCAAACTCGTTGGATACCTGGCACATGTTGGGCTAAATATCCAAAAAATGACTAAAATCTAAAGTGAAAAAATCATTCAAAACGATTCAAGTCTCCTCAACACATCTGCCACTGCTGTTCGCAAGTCGGCATCCCTCCATGGCTTCCTGCTCTTCCCCACTCCTGTGATGATGTTCAACCGTTCACCAGGAGGGGAAGCCTGCAGCCACCAGCGTAGTGCCACCAAGGCAGCACCCACAGAAAGGTCATGAAGATCCAAGTCACCAAGGTGGTGCAACAAGCCTGGAAATATCTTCCGACGCCTTGCCAACTGAAAGATTTCGGCTGATCTCTCCTCCTGGACCATTGGATCCAATGGCGCACAAAGACTGTGCACAGTGGAGGCCACAAACAAGATCAAACATGTTTGGGGCCCGCGTGTGCAAAATTGCAGCATACAAGTACGCTATGCTTTGAGGGGGGTGATTTCAGCATCTGTTACAGTATGTCATCTGGGACTTCGGATGTAGTATGGATGAGCGCACGTCCCTCTGTGAATATCTGTGAACTCCCTGCATATCTGTCTATGTCTCTCACGTGGGTATGTTTCATCTGAATGCGTTGTGTTCTCAATGTGATAATGAATGCATGTGTGTGTGTGCGTGCGCCTCTAAACCTGTAAACAAACGTGCATGCCGCATATAAGCGATGCATGATTCTGATCGCACGTCCTCCTCACAAATCGCATCCAAGACCTCGTTGAAAATAACTCGGCCAACAAGATTCTTTCGTTCAGCCTCCCAAAAAAGGGCCAACGCCATTGTCCAGCGCCTTGCCCCACACGCTGCAATTGAAGCAGCGTACGAAAATGAATCGCACTGCAGTAAGTCTTTCTGCATCATCTCCAGCAAAGAGATGGTTTGTTCCCATTTCTTCCCGGCTGCACAGGCAGTCATGACAGCATTGAAAGAATAGTTGTCACGTAGCTTTGGAGGCAGTGCAGCAAAAAGTGACTGCGCCTTTTGCCACTGGCTGCTTTTCTCGCAGGCGCTCATTGCCGCATTGTGAACCATTGCATCCTTAAAAACTTTCGCCAAATCCATCTGTTCCAACATTTCGAAGGCCAGCGTCCATTGTTTTCCCTTCTCAAAGGCACTAGCGGTGCTACTGTAGGAGATGGTGGTTCTTGGAATCTGCTGTTTCCCCATCTCCTGCAGGGTTTCAGCATCATTGTGGGCATTCTCCTTTAAAACTGCTACTCAACATTGGGATGCCAGCACCCGCCAAATCCCAGCTTTACCAACCCTTCCTGAAACAACTCCAAAGCTCTTTGCCACTGGGCCCCACGTTCACAGGAGCTGATCATGGAATTATAGCTGACTGAATCATGTCTCAGTTTTCTCTGTCCCATGGCCTGGAAAAATTCCAAGGCAAAATCCTGAGTGAGAAGATGCCATGGCTCAAAAAGACAACTTCCAAAATAGCAAAAGTGGAAGGACCAACTTGACCAATACAAAATGTCACCAAATGTCCCGACACTCTGTTGGCTTCGGGCAGTGGGGTAGCACTATTGGTATCTGCAGCAAATAAAATGAGTAACCAGTTGAGCACCCAGTGTCCCACTTCTCCCTCACGCTTGCAATGCAAGCGTTGTAAATGACTTCATCCCGTGTGACATTCCGCTGCTGCATGTCCTGCAGTAAGCAAATGACCAGTGGCCACTGTGCCATCCTTTCACATACCTTGATGGTGGCACTGTAGGTGAATCTGTCCTTGGACACCTCAAATCGACTCATATCCCCATAGAGGGCCAAGGATTTCTGCAGTTCGGAGACTTTGGTACAAATTGTGATGCACGTGTTGTAGGTCACTGCATCTTTCTTCACCTGGTTCAACTCCATCATTCTCAAGCAATGAATTGCTGCTTGCCATTCTTGAGCATGCCCAACAGCTGCAATGCTGGCATTGAAATGAAATGTGTTGACTTGCAGTTGCTGCCCCACCATTTCTTGCAAGCTTGCAACTGCATTGGCTCCTTCCCCTCGCAGGAACCGTGCAGCCCTCGCCGGATTCCATGCCATGTCCGATGTTTGAAGCTTGGGCACTTGGGCCTGTTGACTCGAGAAAAAAGTGATTGGCTCAAATTCAAATAAAATCTACAAAAAAAAAGAAGCATATAACATATTTTATTGTATGATATGTATGTAATGTAATGTAATGTCATGTCATGTCATGTCACGTCATGTCATGTCATGTCTGTCTGCATGCATGGATGGATGCACGCATGCATGCATGTATGGATGGATGGATGGATGTATGGATGCATGCATGTATATGTATATGTATATGTATATGTATATGTATGTGTATATGTATATGTATATGTATATGTATATGTATATGTGTATGTGTATGTGTGTGTGTGTATGTGTATGTGTATGTGTATGTATGTATGTATGTATGTATGTATGTATGTGTATGTGTATGTGTATGTCTATGTATCTGTATCTGTATGTGTATGTGTATGTGTATGTGTATGTATATGTATATGTATATGTATATGTATATGTATATGTATACGTATATGTATATGTATATGCATGCATGTATATATGTATGTATGTATGTATGTGTGTGTGTGCATTTGCATTTGCATTTGTTTAAATAATTATGTATATATATATACGCAAATATGTACAGGTTAAATAACTGTGCAAATATAAAGATATTTATTTATTTATCCATTTATTTATTTATCCATTTTGTTTATTTATCCATTTATTTATGTGCATGTAGGTATAATATGCATATATATATATATCATATGTATACATGCATATAATAGGTACGGTAACTATTAAAAAATAAATGTGTAATAGTCGGAGCGCATTGTGAAACCCTAGGTTCACGGAAAGGACATTTTGGGAAGGTCCCATCGCTTACCACACGTTTGTACAATAATGATATATGGTAAACTTGGGGGGTATCGCTTGCAGGAAACTGCTGTATTTATATATATATATATGATGAACTATGAATAATATGTGATATTTGGGTATCGCTAATGTGGATATAAGAGAAATATGATGACATAACCTTGAAAAGGGGTATCGCTAATTTGGGAAGGTCCCATCGCTTACCTCGTGTTTTTAACAATTTCCATCAATTTCCATAAGCCAATGTCCGTCGAATACATATTTAGTATTGCCGGGGTTTTTACGGTTGCTCATATATATATATATTTAATAATGTATATACACAAAAAGAAGTTATTTAGTCAGTTAGTCTAAGTTTCCTTTCGCAAAGAGCGGCTGAGTTTGTTGCTGACCATGTCGACGCCATACACCAAACCGCAGTGACGCGTATCAAAGGCCTGAAGGTTGGGACACAATCGCAGTGTGATAACCCTTGGGAACATGTTGAAACAGTGGTTGATTTTTTTGGAAGATTGAAAATAATGGATGAAAAAGGTGAAAGTGTTCGATCTTTTAGGACATTTTTTGACATTGATATACATTGATCCATTTGCCCCCCAAAGAATTGCACCGGTGCTGATTAACCACATCACATGTAGCTGACGGCTTGCACATGGCCTCCATCTGGTTGGCACAAACTGTTCCAACAAAAAAAGATATTCGTCTTCCGTGGATGATTTTGTCCCTGTTACAGGTGTAAAAAGCTCATTGACAATGTAAAATTATGTCATTCAGAAACTTCCGCCGCATGGCCGGTTACTTCCTGCCTTGAAAAGGCTCCGTAGCTTTAATCCAGTGATTGCCTGATGTTGCTGTGACAATGGCGGGCATGTCATCAATTCAAGGGCCCGAACTCATGTGCTACCTCAAATTCCGTGGGTTCAATGGATCTGCACTTGGTCATGGCGCTTGAAAAAAAAACTTGTTTTGATGATAATCAAATGGTCCAAGTGGCTGGACATGCAGAATGGACCGAAGTTCAAACCAGAAGTGTCGTTTGATCCTGCACCATGGATGCTGAAGCAGTTCCTCGCCTCATAGTCCAACCCCAATCGCATACGAAGAGCGCTATCAAACTCATACCTTTGCGAGTGGCATATGAATGGGGTGGCCTGGGAGGAAATGAATATGATTCTCAACCAGTACATTGATTCGCCTTCATGGCAGCTGGATTACTCGGGCAAACCAACTGCTAAAAAAAACGACTGCGACCCTACCAGCCGGATCTCGTCAGCCATTCTGCTTTGAAAATTCGTCCAGAGCAAGATTCTTCTCTTCTCATGGCTTTGCTTAGGACGGCACGTGCTCACAGCACCACTATTGTTGGCATCAATGGCCTGAGCACAGCTGAACCCGGAACAATCCCTCTGCCGTTGCCTGGCAATGGCCTTTCAACACCAAAGGGGGTCTTACGACCTTTCAACACCAAGGCACAAGGAACGCCAGACGAGGCCCTCCACACAGCCTGGAGCGGCATGATTCTTCTCCGTCAGACCCCGTCCCGACTGGCTAAATTTGCGGAAACAAATATATATATATATATATATATAATCAAATGGGATTCTCATTGCCTGACCTGTTCCAGTTGCATGGTGATTTATGTCTGAACGTTCAGTTCTTGAATCATTCTAGAAGTGTTCGACAGAGACCATGCTACTCAATCCTCACGGGGTGCTTCAGTGAAGCCTGCCTTGCCAAGACCACCACCTGGAACTGGGCGCATTTGCCCAGCAAACTCATGGTAGTGCACAGTCGGCTGAATCTATCTTCAAATGTGATTCCTTGAAATGCGCCTCTTGCAAATCAATGTACATGAAGCATCCAGTAGTTCCACGACCATGGAAAGGACACACCCAGCTCTAGCACTACATTTTGCCTTGCATTGGACGTCAAATACACCATGTTTCTTGGTGAGGGCCTTCCAAGAACCCTCCATTGGCGCTGACATCTTGTTTTGCAGAACCTTGGGGACAGCCCACGCACAACACTGGTCACTGGGCTTCCCTGCCAAGGCAGCTGCACCCTGATAGCCACTCTGCCTTGCAGGTGAGAGATTCAAAATTCTGCATATCAGAAATTGAGGGTTAGAATCGGTTAGACATCTCACTTGCTTCTGCTTTTGCACCTTTGCTTTGGAATTCCCCTAAGATGTCGGAATAGAGTCATCCCAAAGCCAAATACAACATGGTTTGGGACGGACACCGCCAGTCCTACACCAAGATTTATCCAACAATGTGTATGTGATACATATCGATGCACAAGTATGCTTATCCGTATAGATACACATATACTCTCCGCATGTATATGATATATTGAATTTGTGAGTGGGGGGAGGAGGGTGAGGGACCCCTGAGACCCTTCTGGCTCTGAAGTACAGTTCTGATAGCGGAACACATCTTTAAAAAAACTAAGCAGAGTAGTATGGAGTTTCCTACCCTTCTCTTCCGTCATCCATCTTACTGCCATGAAATGACTGAAAAACACTGTTGTACCTCATTTCATCTCTGCCCTACTACCCCCCCCTTCCATGGCCCATTGGTGTGCCTCAAGGCGTCAAGGGCATCTGCCGCCTTCGATTTGGAACCTTGGGGCTCGAGGCCTGCAACAAAACGTTTCAGCCCAGCAAACATTGGACCCGCAAACCGCCCCTAATATTTAAGACAGGTCGGAATGAGGACCCTTGCCAAGGCCCCCCAAATGACTTGGCCAGTCTCCCTTCCCTTGGGACCATTGCTCCAGGTCAAATTCCAAGAGCCCCACTGCTGGTCAATTTCTTTTCTAACCTTTGGTGCGCTGAGAGGCATGAAAGTTGGAATCAGCTTGATGCTCCCACTGGGACCGTTCATTTTCCACAAGGTCATTGCTACCCAACTCAAGGAACTTGCAGAAACCATAAGATCTTCGGGCCCTTTGAAAAGGGCCAAACCACAAGGTGCAAGTCTACCGCTGCTCTGCGGCGTTCGAGCATGATGATGTCATTCTGGGATAGAATCAAAATGTTCCTTCTAGTTACGACTCCTGCAAATTGAGCCCATAAAATCCTCCTCAGCACCATGACCGCATTTGCGGTGGATTTAGAAGTTGACAAACATCCAGTACGCATTACTCGTAGTTCCTGAAATGGCGGGACACGCATGAACTGCGCATGAAACTCTAAATCAAAACATTCAGTTGCATGTCATGGTCCATCTCTTCCCCCACTACAATGGGGAAATTGTTAGAATGTTCCAACGACAACGTGGCAAACCCAATCAAAAACGATCCTCCTCCCAAACAGTGTTTGAAAATGATTGAAATATAACATTTTTAGAGCAGCCAACCAGACCCAGTCTGTGTTGGATCCATGTTGGCTGGTTAACCTCGCAGCCGCTGAGTTTCCGTGCTGTACAGCTCGAGCCTCTGCAGAAGCCAACAGGTGCCGCAAATCAGAGGCCTCTGGCCGGCAGATGCTAAATGGCTGGGGCTGGTAATTTTCCCGTTGGTTTGGCACTGCGAAAGGGGTTAAAAAGGGCGACCTTTTTGCGCCCAAAAAGGGTCCCAAAAACAGAGAAAAAGGTCGCCCCCTAAAGATCCCAAATCAAGCGGAAAATTACTAGCTGGGGCCAAATCCCAAAAGCATCGAACGGAATCAAACTATAGCTTGACAACGCAAAAGTACACCCACCTACTTAAATTGTACGAATGGAAAGCCCCATCTGAATACCACGAAATGAATCTTTGGATTGTGCATGCCTTTCTCTCACCTCTTCCCTCCCAACATCCACCAAGCATGAACAAAATGTGGACGTTTGAGTTGGAATACTTGCGGCGTGAACCTTGGCCCACTGCAGTATCCCACAGGGCCAAGCCTGGTCCTGCCAAGCATCTCTCCGCTCCTGCAACCCACAAGTGTTCAGGGAAAAACCTGCCAATCGCTCTTGAAAGCTGTAAATGGCATCACCTGGTCTTGAACTCATCCCACAAGTACATCTGGTTTCACTACGTTTCACTGGGGGTTCTTGGGCAAAGGTAAGGAACCGGAAAGTGTCAGGCATACCCCCGCCTGAGCCACTTCAAGAGCTGCCTTTTGCCTGGCCAAGGCCTCAATAGTGTTGAGATATCAGCAG